CCACTGGACCGCCAGGGAATTCCCAAGAATTTGATGATCGAAAAGAGCTTTTAGAGAGACTAAAACAGCCATGGCAAGGCGATGGGTTGGCGACACCAATGTGTGTCTGCCCGGCTGGTAGTTTCGTTTGACTTACGTTGAGCTTGCCAACCTCTAAAACCCAAAGTCGTTTTTGTACTGATTCAGCTATAACTCTTTCTCTTTCCTCCAACTCTTTGTCTGACTCTTTTTCCACCACTCCCTGCCCGCCCCCCACTTGAAGGCAGGGTTATATATTTGCCCCTCTTCTGTTGCCTCTCAAATCTGTTCTTAACTCTGTCCGGGAGTGTGTTCCTTTTCTTTCTGACACCATCCCAGAGTTGAGGAAATGTCCTTCCACCTGTTTTTTATGTAGCAGGAACATGCTGATTAAATGAGTCAGGGAGGAGATTGGCAAAGCTATCAAGAGAAATGATAGCGGCAACCATCACTCTTCAAGGCAAAAAATGACATCTTAGGAACCTCCCTGTTACCCCTCCCCTTCTCAATAAGAAATGTTTAAAATAATGACTTTCATCCATGAAGTTTTTGTTTCAAATCTCTGTTTAAGATGTCAGGGAACTCTGAGTGGTAAATTAGGGGAGATCTCTCTTCTTCAAATACATCTGTGTTTTCCAAATACTTTATAATGAACACATATTCCTTTTAGAGTCAGAGAAAAACATTTTTTAAAGCAAGATGGTATGTGAAACATCTTAAGATTTCCGTGGAAGATCTGATGTACAATGAAACTGAAACCATGTAAAAAGATTGGACTGCTGAAATCATCATGCCAGTATGCTGATCTGTTGACAAAGATGAAAGCGTGATTAAAATTACAGTTTTGGTGGGGAGAGTGGTAAGGAATGGAAAGATAACTCACATTTTTCCTCCTCCATATCCATGACAAGTAAAAAAGACAGACTCTCGAAGTGATCTGAGTGATTCTGCTGAAGCAAGAAACCCTTAGGATGCCTCTGCCAGAAAGATTTAGGCGAGCTGCATAAACCATAAAAAGACCAAAGAAAGTGGAGAGAGTGATTTATTTGAACAAAACTGAGGAGAAATCATTTCAGTTCGATTTTACAGCAGTCATTTCATCACAAGATGAGAGTCTGAGTCCATAACTATGAAAGGAGTCAACAGCATTTGGCAGAAGTTGGAAAATATTTAATTTATTAAATGTAACCATAATGTGGATAAAGAAGAATGGGCTACAGTGGGATCAAAAAGCTACTTAAACAAGGTCCTACTGTATAGCACAGAGAATTATATTGAGTATCCTATGATAAACCATAATGGAAAACAATATAAAAAAGAATGTATATGTATGTATAACTGAATCACTTTGCTGAACAACAGAAATTAGCACAACATTGTAAATCAACGATACTTAAAAAAAAAGCAACTTTATTTTTCCTCAGGGCAGCTCCTGTAAATGCTCCGTCTTTCTTGTTTCCCAGACAAAATTTCTAATAGGTCTCATAATTTTTGTAATGTTTCTCATTACTCTTGGATCATTGAATATCATCTAGTCATGTCTGGTCATTAAACATTCTCATTTTAGTAATGAAATGCCTGGCCTGGACTACTAATAAAACCCCGAATGTAAGATTTCTCCCATCCCCAGTTCAGACCTGCAATGGAGGGGGGACCCTAGCTGATAACCCTATTCCCTGCTCCAAGGCTTCTCCCCTTTCCTGCCATCCTTGAACCTGACCCTTCTCTCATCTTCCATTCAAACGTTTGCCAAAGGAAAGCCTGTTTCTAGTAGCTTCTTTCCAGGCTGTCATCTGGACTGCTTTTAAAATGTGCCTGAAAGGACAACTTGTACACCGAATATCTTCAGGATTTTTATCCGGGGAGAAGAAGTGGGGAGGGGATTCAGGTAGTGTGAGTGATGGGCTTAGTGTCTGGAACTCAATGTCCCACTTCTAGACGGGGATTTGCAAAGTCCTTGACTGAGAAGCCGCCAGCTGCGGTGCAGCGGTGCTTGGGGCCACCTAAGCTGGAGGACCACTACTTCCTGTCCCCCCCCGCCCCCCCCTGCTTTCTGTTATATTCCAGTTGTCCCCAAGAGAGGCGTTCTGGCCGTGCTGGTTCACTGCTGCTCAGTGTGGCTCACACCTGGTGGGCATAAGCCGACCTAAAGCCTCCTGGACTTGCTGTGGAGAGGCTAGCTCACCGACCAGGCGTTGCTTCCTGGAGTTACAGAAATTGCGGGGTGAAGCGGCTGGGGGTGGTCATGGTGAGGCGGGCTGGAACGGTGAGGACTGTCATGGGGGCAGCTCTCTTCTCAAAATGGTGTTCCGTAGGGGAAGCACTTAGGGACTCAAGACCCCTTCTCCCTGAGCCACCATTTCATAGCCGACACACCTCAGTGAGATCTTGCAGGGCCCAATCTCTGATATGTAATCCACATTTTCCCTTTGTGTCCCCAGGCTCATCCAGAAAGCCCGTCAACATCCCAGGGAAAGAGCAAATCTCTTGGAGAGTAGCTCAGAAGGTCAAGAAACTCAAAGACAAGGTTCAACGTACAGACAACTTTCTTGGAAGAAGAGTAATCCAGATTTTCCCCAGTACTAGGAATCCTGGGAACAAATTTAACCATTGTGGGATGAGAGTGCAGCTTTTTCACACGTGGTAACCCAGAGGTGTCAGGAAGTGTAGGAAGTCTCATCTCATTTTTAATATTTTTGCCCAGGGATTCTTAACCACTTTTGTGTTCTAGTCCTTTTTGGCAGACAGGTAAGACCTACGACTGCCTTCTCAGAATGTGTTTAAATAGATAAAAATAAAATCAATATGATTACAAAAGACACCAATAATATTGAAATGCACTCATTAGAATATTTTAAAAACACCCCCACCCCCAAAATAACAAGAACATAAAAGAAAGCTTTTCAAATGCCTTGTTGATGATTCCGATGGTTCCCTATGATGAGGGCACTGGCTGCCACGCTGGGGCCATAGATCCCTGTGAAACCACGGATCCCCATTCCCATGTTGCTTTCACAACCAGTGGCTACTAAAAGGCCACCTGCTATACTGCGTAGGTCCTCAAAAACCTGCTTGACACTGAAAAGGGATACTCACATCGGCTGTCACCGATTTGGACACAGTGGGACAAGAACCACGTCTGAGAATGATGTTTCGTTGGAATCAGCTGGGAAGATATTTTTAAAATCCCCAACAAGGGTCGAGTTTTGATTTTTAAAAAGATCTACAGATGATTTTGATGTGCCAACTTTGGGCACCATTGAAAAGCATCTGAAATGGATCACTCTGGCAACTCATGGAAAAAGCCAACAAGGCGCCAACATGTGGCTCCATCAGATGTTGGTGTGGCATGCGTGCACAATGAGAGGACACCCCAAAGCGTGTGACGAAGACGTAAACGGTGCTCTTTCTTCGTTAAAGGCTTTCCAAGGCCACACACTGCTCTAAACAGGGTGAGGGAAGCTGGTGTGGAGTAAGAATGGAGTGAACCTTATAGTGGGGGAGAGACATGGAAACCGGTTAAATATGCTTTAACACATACTTTTGGAATACATACTGTGCCCCGGGACTGTGGAGTAAGAAGGTGAATACAGACGATGGATGATGAACCCTGGTTGAGGTCACGCAGAAAGCTACACAAGAGGGGACTGCTTAGGCTGCCTCTTAAAAGACAAATAGAATTCATCCGTTGGACTCGGCTGGACAAGAGGCAGGAAAGAATATCCAGGGGAGAGGGAACAACACTTTGGAAACAAAATGGAGATGACAAAGAGCATATGGCCCAATGTTCCGGGAACTGAACTTGCCAGCCTAGGGTGGGGGCAGGATGGGAGGAGAGCGGTGGACAGTACAATGGCAAGAAGTCTGGCAGGGGCCAGCTCCAGAGGAGACTTGCCTGTTAAGTACTATTTGGGAATCTGTTCTATGGAAGTGGAAGGCTGCTGAGGAGTTTAATCAAAGAAGTGACATGATCCCCAATCTCCTGGGGAGACGGTTAGTGGGGCACCAGCAGAGGCAGGGAGGGTAGTTGGGGGCTTTTGATATGTAGTCCTGGTGGGGAGCTTCTGAAGCCTTTAAGCAGCTCAGGGGTGATGAAAGTGGCTGCAATCAGGCGGTGTGGGCTGATTGGATGACATTAGGCAGGGGCGGAGGAGGAGGTGCATGACTTCCCAATTCCTGCCTCGGTGGATGGGGGCAGGAGTCAGGTCCCCCGACAGTGTCAGGACAGGAGGATCACACCAGGTCGGGGGGGTGGGGTGACGAGTCCAGCTTTGAGCTGAATTCTGGAAACATTAACCAATTTGAAGGGAGGTGAAATCTGAGAGGAGCAGCTAGAGAAATGGGAGGAAAACGAGGAGAATCAGAGTCACAGAAGCCGAGGGAGGGGAACATTTCCAGGAGGGAGTCGCGAGGGAAACTGTGAGTGGAAAAGTGGTCAATCATATTTGGCCGCCAGCAGGTCAGAGGTTCCTTCTGCAGAGACCAGGGTAAGGACGGTCTGCCGGGCTGCAGAGCGGGGAGTGAGGAAGCGGGGGAGGCGGTGGGCTCTCTGGGCCGGGAGATTAGATCCCACAGGTGTTCTGGGTTCAGGAGGACGGGATTTCAGCTAGCCTCCCTTCGCAATATGTTTGCAGAGTCGTTTGAAGTTATACTTGCGGTTTATTTCTCTGCATAAGCTTTGATGATAATGGTGAACTGGGATAAGAAACTCGCCATAATATGAAGAGTGACACTGAAGATGAAGAAAATATTGCCTGGGGCGCTTGCCAAAATACGCCAAAATTTGGAGGCCAGAGAGAATGTGCCGAGGGAGGCAGGGCTGGGCGACTCGCTTCCCTCGCCCCAGCCCGCCTACCCCGCAGCGCTCCAGCCGGCGCCAGCAGCCCCACCCAACCCCGCCTCCTTCGGGCTCCGCAGACAGACACGGGGCGTGGCCACACGAAGCCCCGCCCCTCAGCCAGGGTCACGTGATCTGTCAGTTTGCGGAGACGGCGGGGAAAAATGGCTGCCGGCTACGGTGAGGGCGACGCGCTGAAAGCCGCAGTCTCTCCCTTTCTAGTCTTCTGACAGCGCCTGCGGCAAAGCGGGTCCTTTCCGCCGGAGCTGTGGAAGCCGTCCTTGGGCCAGGTTCTGAGACGGTCAGTGTGGTGGTCGGCAGGGAGGGGCCGTGGTGGGGTGTGTAGGGGGCCGAGGCAGAGCGAGGAGGGAGCGGAGGAAGGGTGAGGCCGGGTGTGGGGAAGGGGCCGTGGCCGGGTGAGGGGGCCGCGAGGCCGAGTGCGTGTGCGGGGTCAAGGGAGGGGAGGGAGGGGGCGGTGCGGGGCCGCGGTGCGGGGGGGGCGGTGTCCGGCTTTCCGGGCGGGTCCACGCTTGCTGCGGCGCCGGGAAGGTCTTGGACTTAACTGTCGCAGGTGGTCAGCCTTTTGGGGGGGGTGAGATGGGGGATGCTAGTGAAACAAGTGTCTTTTGGTTATTTTTTTGGAGCAGCCGCAGGCACACCCACCACCTCGAGAACCCCCTTAGCTTGTACCGCTAGGGCAGGCGTTCGAGGTTTCTTTCCTTGGGCTTCCACGGAGGAGGTGGTTGGTTTTTCTCCCTTTGCTTTCATATTGGGCTCCATTACTCCATTGTCCTGTGCAGGCCGTTATATCAGCAAAATGTCAGCAAGCCATTGATTACGACGCTTCCTTGATTTATTTATAGGGAAGCGATTTGTCAGCCAGTAACGTTGGATTATTTTTCTTTAAAATTGTTTTGACACATAGTAAGGTTTAAACCAATGAAGAATATTTTATTAATAACTATTTATGGAGCTATCTTTGCTAGCCGCTAGGGGGCACTGGTTAAAAATGTAGCTTTCTTAGCCTTACCCTCAGAATTCCCATTCAGCCGGCCTGGGGTGTGGCTCAGGAATCACCCCTTCAGATAGGTGACTGTGATACGTTCTGTCACTGTCTCCACTTTGACAGCACTGAAGATCAGACATCAAAATTTTTTTTAAAGCACCCTAGGAGACCTGATGCAGAGCCGAGGGTGAGAAATGCAGCGGCAAGGTTGTGTTCTTTGTTCTCTAGCTTTGCTAGCGTGGAAACTTTCATCAGAATCATTTTGGGGCGCTTGTTAAAATGTCAGTTTCTGCGCCCCAGGTCTACTGAATAGGATTCTCTGGGGGAGAAGCCCAAGGACTTTGTGTATTGACAAGCTTCCTGAGTAACTTTGATGCACACAAGTATGAGGATCTTTGTTTTACACTCTGTGCGAGTGATTTGCAGATCTGTTTTTCCAAAAACTGGGTGGATTCTCCAACCCAGGTTTTTTCGAGTACCTCACATTCAGCATGCAGGAGTGGTGGGGAAGGAGGGGATACTAACCAAACAGAGGAAAGTCCTGACCTTCTCCGGACTCCACTTTTTTTTTGTTAGTGGCACCATCATCCTCTCATCACCTATGCTTGGTATCTAGTCATCTTTGCCAGTTCTTTCATTTCTGGTCACATATTTTTAAAAATTTCTACATTCAGAATCTGTCTTCTGGATATTTTGGTAGGTCAAAGGGTCCAATATGGGGGATTTTATACTGTTCAAGTTCATATCTCTCATTTCTTCTGCATCCCTGCCGCCTGTCCCCTCTCCTGTGGGCTCTTGTGGTGGTTGTCTGACTGGTATCCAGGGTTCCGATTCTGGGCCGCATTCACTGCTGGGGGAAATTTTTCCTAGGATCATGTGAGTGTGCCATCCCCCTCTTCCTGCTTTTGCTCAGTTTCTTTGCCACTGTATTAGCCAGGGCTGTTTAGAAGGCGAGGGACGGGACAGAGATGTACTCTTTTACCTCAGGGAAAAGGAGATTTGCAGGACTGACTGAGAATCGGAAAGAAATCGGGATCTAAGGCAGCTCCACCTTCTGTAGATCTCTCAGGGGCCACATTTGTTTTCTCACTTATGAGGAGTCTTCTCTGTTCACATCGTTGGATCCTCTCTCTGCTGACTGGCTGCCTCAAAACTGTATCATTTTGTTCATGGTCTGCAATGACTGGGTCTCTGGTTTCTAATTTCCAGTTCTAGAGAGAGGAATCTGACTGGCCCAGCTTATCTTTTTGAGCAGTCACGTGTCCTCATGTGCTCATCACTGGTTGTGGCTGATGGTAGAGAACATGGCTCTTGAGGGTAGTGGGAGCTATGGGCAGGCAGAGTCCTACAGAAGAGGCATGTTTAGCATACCTATACAGTTACTCAGTTTGGCAGTTATCTTTGATGTTTCTACTTGCTCTGGACCTGTAATAGGTTCTGGGGACATAAGAACAAAAGAGAGACAGCCCTTATCTCGCAGAGATTACAGATCTAACCACCCTCACTTTCCAGTCGTAGCTCTAACTTTTTACTTACGTTCCCTATCCACGCTGTTCATTGTTTCCTGGACATACACTGCATAGTCACTCAGCACCCTCTGTGTTCATTCTGTCCCTTCTGCCTGGTATGCCCTTCTTTCATTTCCCACCAGTGGACCCATTCTTCAGGGATCAACACAAAGTGATACTTCCATGGTATTCCAGTAAGAGTAGGAACTTCTCTTCGGAGCTCTCATAGGACCTTGGGTTTCTCCAGCACTGTTCTACCTTAAATTATGACTTGGATTTATCTGGATAGTACACATTTGCTTTTTGAATTATGTTGGGCAAATTACTTGTGTATGAAACCTGTTTTCTCATCTGTAAAATGAGAGATAATACTTAAGATTATTGGAAAATCAAATAGATCATAGATATAAAAGCATCTCATAAACTCCAAGGTGACGTGTAAATGCTCTTTTCGTGATGAAGTTCTTTTATGTCTCCTAGTGAACGGTAAGCCTGTTGAAGGCTTGATAGGAATCCAGTAAAGGCTGTCATGGGCCTTGCACATGATGGTGCCCCAGAAATATTTGCAGAACAGATGAGGCCTTGCGCCCTGGGCTGCCTTCGTTCACCTGATGCCTGTTGAGCCTGTCCTTTGTTCCTGGAAACTTGTCAGGCATGGGGGAAACAGTGGTGACCAAACCAGACATGCTTCCTGCCTGGGAGCACAGTCACTGCAACGAAGTGCAGTGTATCTTTAAGGAAGACTGAGAAAGAAGGAGGGAGAGGAGAAGCCCTAAGCTGGTCTGGGAGGGGAGTGGGCGGTCAGGGAGACCTCACTGGGGGAAGTGACTTTTAAATTGAGACCTCTATGCTGTCTGTCGGTGGGTCGGGATGATGGAGAGGAGAGCCTGGTCCTGTGAGGGGGAGGGGGAGGGGGAGGGGGAGGATGGCTTGAAGCTGACAGGGCATTTCTGAGAATGACGAGAGCCGAGGATGGGTTGTGGGGGGGTGAGGGTATTCGTTTTTAGGTGAGAATGGAACCTGTTGAAAGGATTTATTTAAGAGGGGAAGCACTGCTAATCAAAAGTGAAGCCTCTGAGGGAGGGATTGGGAGACCTGGCCATTGAAGAACATAATCTGATTTACTGGGCACACTTGAGATCAAATTCTTGATTTGTTAGAAGCCTGACTCATGGGAATCATTTTATAACTGTCAGTGTGGTAGACTGTTTTCTCCTGTTAAATTAATAAATGTGATGTGACGATCAAATTCAATTCAGGAAACATTTAACAATTCTTTAATATGCACAAGAAACTGTTTTAGGCGCTTCTGAATTTGTGAAGGTAAGACTTGTGAAGTTCCTCCCATTAAGAAAGCAGCCTTGTAGCACAGGGAGATCTGCTAGGTGGTTTGTGACCACCTAGAGGGGTGGGATAGGGAGGGTGGGAGGGAGGGAGACGGAAGAGGGAAGAGATATGGGAACATATGTATATGTATAGCTGATTCACTTTGTTATGAAGCAGAAACTAACACACCACTGTAAAGCAATTATACTCCAATAAAGATGTTAAAAAAAAAAAAAGAAACTTAACAGTAAAGAAGGGATGGGTGGATGAATGCAGAGATTACCAGAATTCCAGGCGTGTAATGCTGAACGATCAGCAAAGCCTGCTCTAATATTTCCCCCTAAGTACACAAAGTAGAGTATCGTAATGAACCCTCATGTGCCCATCGCCCAACTTCAGCCAACCAATTTTATTTCAGTCATTTCTCTCTTCCCCCAGTCACCTCTTTTATCCTCCAGTACTTTAAAGAGCCCTAAGTCTCCATAGGGCAGAAACAGTGTATTATTCAACTTGTCAGTGATAACCTGAAGCATTGTAAATTATAGACTTCCAACAGACTACTGTTAGATCGAACTGTTATTCAATTATGGCTGTGTAGAATTGCATTTTCTCAAAGCTGTATGGCAAAGGTAGATCACCTTTCCTTAATAGATTCGTTTAAAGAATATCTTTCAGGTGGCTTAAGGCAAGGCAGCTTCAATTTTTTTTTTTTTACTATTACCATTTTCTGCTTAATCTTAGTCTAAAAGGATCTAAGTCTGAAGTCTTTTAATATTAGTCACAATCTATGAGTGATAACTTTTAAAGTTTTATGTATCTCAAGGTGATACACATACCATCCACATAACAGATTGGGGGAGAGAGGTAACAAGGTTTGAAGATCTTAAGATTTTCAATTTTTTTTTTCTTTTTAACAACTGAGGTCAATGTCTATAACTTCTTTTCTTTACTATGCTCATTCCAGTCTTGTGTGATATTATAGTGAGGAAAAATATTTGATCTAAATAAGGGCTTTGTCAGACATTTGCATGTGTGTTTAAAATTTTTATTTTAAAGTAATTGCAAACTTACAGAAGACTTGTAAGAGTAGTACAAAGAACTCTGTTTTACACCTTAACCAGATTCACCAGGTGTAACATTAAAATTTAGGGTGCACATAGCCTCTGTAATTATAAAATATTCCTGTTAATTCCGTAACCATTTAATGGCGATGTACCAAGCCTTTCCTTAGTTGCTGAGGATGAAAAGGTAAGACATGATCTTGTTTTCAAGGATTTCAAAGTAAATTAATAATTGTGATATGTTATTATAAGTGTAATACTGCAGATATGCATAACATATAGGTGTACTGGGTGAAACTGACCAGGGCGGGGTAGGACAGAGTGAGGGGAAGGAAGGGGGAGGAGGATCCCCCTGAGGTGGAATTTGAAGGAATGTTTCCATTTGTTAGAAAGTTAAAGATGGGTGAAGAATTCCAGGTGGGTGCATCGGTGTAGGCATGCTCATTCATTCTTAGATATTGGTGTCTGCTGTGTGCCAGGCACTGTTCTACATGCTGGGGATTCAGCATCAAACAAAACAGGAATAGTCTCTACTCCCGTTGGGCTGCATTTTGGAGGTGGGGTGGACGATGAGGAGGCAGACGAAAAACCCAGAAAGCAAAACACAAAGGTTTCTTGAGTGATGCTAAGTAAGTGCTGCATGGAAAAGCAAGGCGGGACGATGTAATGAGGAACGATAGTGGGGGTGATGGCTGTCTCGTACACAGTGGTCAGGGACGCTCTGATCAGGTGACGTTGGAACAGAAACCCTGGGTAGCCTGAGCAAAATGAAGGCGAAAGAGAGTGGTAGGTAAGCTCAGGGACATGGAGAGAGGCTGGAATAGGTCAGGCAGGGCCTTTTGGGCTATGATAAGGAATTGGGGTTTTTATTTCGAGTGAGAGGACAACTGTTGGGGGGTTTTGAGCACAGGATGGCCAAGATGCAGCTCAGTGATTTAGGAGTGGTGTTCCAAATGCAGGGAGCAAATTGAGCAAAGGCAGGTGTGTGGAGTGTGTTAAAGATACAGATAAAGGGGCTGCACCAGGACCTACTTGTCAGAATCTCTGAGGGAAGGGCCCAGGCATTTGTGTTTTACAAGCTCTAGGTGATTCTGATGTATATTATGATTTAAGAAGCTCTGGTCCAACTTACATTTTCAAAAGATCACCTGGTTGCCTTGTGGATAGACCGTGGGAAAGGCAACATGGAGGAGGGGAGAGCAGTTGGGATCTAGGTGAGAGGTCACGGTGGCTGGACCAGGGTGGTTGTGATGGAGGTGGTGAGTAGTGACCAGATTTGAAATACGTTTTATAGGTAGAACCAAAGGATTTGCTAATAGATTGAATGTAGAGTGTAAAGGGACGAGATAAGTCATGGATAATTCCAAGGTTTTGACCTTGGAAGAATGGAGCTGGAGTGGCCGTTTACTGAGATGGAGAACGTAGCAGGAGAGGCCGTGGAGCGCTTGCTTTTATTTGTGGGTGGTGGGTGGTGGTGAGGAGGAGGGTTTGGGGGATGGGTCTGGAGTTTGGGGTTTGGATGAGTTAAGAGAGAGATGAGGGTGAGTCTTGGGAGGAGAGGGGTGGACATTTTGAGAGCTGAGCTATGGGGCCTTGTTTTTACTCCTGCCAATGGAGGTGTAATTGTACAAGTTTAAGGTCAAGAAAGTAATGTAGTTAGTAGTAACTTTTTTTTCCTAATCCCAAATTATGATCTGATTTAACAGGTATTGTAGCTTTCTGTGAAAATGTCAGTTCTCATATCACAGAGCGTAATAAATTATGTAGAAGAAGAAAACATTCCTGCTTTGAAAGCTCTTCTTGAAAAATGCAAGGATGTAGATGAGAGAAATGAGGTAAGACCAAGTTTCTAAAATTAAATTCTTCTTACAAATATTTGTTGACTACCCACTATGTATGAGGCACTGTGCTAAGGATAAAGGTAAGTAAGAAATTTGTAGTTCTCACCCTCAGTAATGATATAATTTCTTATAGTTAAAAGTGCTTTGAATTCTGTATTGTTGGAATACATTTGAACTTATATAAATGATTGAATATTGAATTTATGCTTTATGACTGAGACTTATGTTTGGCTTTTTTCCAGATAGAACAGTCACCCTTCAAGAAGTTTAATTACTGAAATCAAAAGTGTTTCTAGGAAACTTTAGAAGAGCTTCTAGACCCAATCTTCTTATAAGTAGATTAACCAAAAAAAAAAAAAAGATTAACCAGACAAAATTAGGACTTTCTGAAATATTTTCTTTTCTGGAGCCTCAACCCTCCTCCCGAGTTGTTCATTCCACACGCCTTGGGATTTTAAAGACTTAAATCTTTAACAGATACTTAAATAGGTCGTGTGTTCTGTTTAATAAGACAGGGAAGTATATATTCATCATTTTCATTAACTCGTATTAGATATTTCTTTTCAACAATACAAGCAAATAAAATGTTGATTATTTTATTGTGAACAGCCAAGCTGCAACATTTTAGGGACTAATAAACTTACTGTATGAATTTTTTAAGTGGCAAATATGTATGTTTTATAAAACTTAAGAAAAATAATCCTTTTTCTTAGGACTGTATTTCAATACAGTGTAATTTTTTTTTCTGACCAGAGAATAAGATGAACATGGACTGATTTTAGTTTTACACAAATGTATATGTGTGTATATGTGTATATGTGTGCACATATATGTATCTGTGTGTGTAGACATGCAGAGTTTTATGATTTTTTTTTACAGTGGGGAAAAAACATAAAATTTACCATCTTAACCATTCTTAAGTGTACAGTTCAGTGGTGTTCAGTAGTGTTAAGTAATTCACATGTGAAATACTTCCAGAACTTCTTCAAATCTGAAACTCCATATCTATTATACAACTCCCTATTCCCCCGACCCCAGGCCCTGGTAACCACCATTATACTTTCTGTCTTTATGAATTTGACTACTCTAGGTACTTCATAGAAGTGGAACTGTACAGTGTTTGTCTTTTTGTGACTGGCTTATTTCGTTTAGTGTAATATCCTTGAGGTTCATCCATGTCGTAGCATGTGACAAGATTTCCTTCCTTATTCAAGCTGAATAGTATTCCATTATATGTATGTACCACGGTGTGTTTATCCACTTATCCATTGATAGACAGTTGGGTTGTTTCCTCCTCTTTGCTGTTGTGGATCCTGCTGCTATGAACATGGGTATGCAAATATTATAAATGTTTTGAAAGCTGCTGAATCAACAGTTATTTATTATTATTATTATTTTTGACATGGGGTACCTAATTTTATTAAATGTTAGCTCTCGTTAAAGAAATCGTGATATAAAATTTTTGTTATTGCAATACATTGATGATAGCTATTGTTTTTATTGACTATTTATGCAGATATGGTAATAGTTCTATATATTTAGCTCATTTAATTTGCATAGAAACTCCATAAAAAATTATACTCTTATTTATCTTGACTTACAGATAAATGACTTAATCCTTCAGTTTCCTATCCAAGATATTACCTGGTGAAATCCAAATTGAACCCATTCTGTTTGACTTCAAACAAGCTATGATCTGTTCATGCTCTTTTGTCTTTGAGTCTTAAGCATAAGTTCATCTAATGATAGTGTCTATATCTTCAATGTTTCTATATTGAACAAACTATATTTTGGTTAGTTGACATCATTATTCCCTTCTATGGTTTTGAATAGTCAATAATTGTTATGCATAAATGAGATAAAATTAATAATTGGAGATTGTTCATTGTTATAAAAGAACTGCTTATGGAAGTAGTCCTTTTATTAGCATATATTAGCATATTTGGAATAATAAAATGATAGTTTAAAAAGATTAAGTTTTATTTCATAGACAGTTTCTTTGGGAATATTGAGAAAATAGCTTCACTTGGAAGGAGAAAAATAGCACATAATAAGCATAAACTTAAATTAATCTTACAAAGAATGAAGTGTATTTGGTTTAGAGCTTAACTTATCATGCATGCAGTAGCATTTAATGGTTATTAGTGATATTTACATCTAGTTTAGTATTCAATAAATTAAAATTGGATTTTTAAAATAATACTTTGAAGCAACCTGGGATTTTTACATTATGGCTTAATGTGAAGGTTGTGGAGAAAGTAGCTTTCTCAAGGCCTTTTTTAGCATTTTGCTTCTACAGCTTCTGATTAAATTTAATTTTTATAGAATTCTAAAAAGTTGCTTAGACCTTCTTCCCTCTTTCTTGCCTTTAAAAAGTGAAGTACTTAATTACCTCATGTTAATATGTTTGGTTATCAGTTTTCAAAAAGTTTCTTAAATGTTACATCAATAAAATAAAATAATGTGGGGAAGATTGCCCGATGCTGTGCTTAGCATATGATGGGCTGCAATTAATAAATGCTAATTTCCTTCCTTTTTTTTTTTTCTACTTTATTTGTAAACTAGATAAATCTCTTGGCCTCTGAATGTTCTCAATGATGGCAAGTCTTTGCCCTTTGTAGATCAGTGAAGGGCTTTACTTTAATTTAACTTTATTTTTGAAAAGAGCACTCTCAGCTCTCCTTGATACAAGGATATAGTGTTGAGGTTGGACATTATTCCCTGTCTGAGAAAATGAAACAGGGCTCTAAATTCAGGAGGTGAATTTTGTTACGTGCTTACAAATGTAGACCCTGAAGGAAGCTTCAAAGGAGAATTTAAAAATGTTCTAGTTTCACTACAATTATTTCACTACAATTAATCCTCCAAAGGTGACTGCTTTAAAGGGCAATGGTTATCTAGGCCCAGTACACCTGAATAAATAGAAGTGGGACTACCTAGGAACTGGGAAGAGCAAAAAGATGCTGAATAGGAGATGTTTTTGCATTGTAGCTTCTGGGAAGCTGAGATAAAATATGATAGCTGTTGTGCGGAACCTTAGTTGGCGCGCAGTGTTCTGTTTTGGTGTTTTGGCTTGAGGTCATTATCAATAGAGTATTATATGAGTTATGTGATCCTGTACTTTTTGGAAAGAAATGGGTTTGGGATTTGCTGGGATGTGTATGTGGGGTTAGGTAGGGGAGGGCCCTTTAGTGATTCATGTTGAAGTGAAAGAGTAAAGTCATCATGACTGTTTCTAAGTCACTCTGTCTCCACAACTGTAGTTACTAGATTGGCTAAGCAAGAACTAGTAGAATAAATATGTTTTGTGATAAGGCACAACTTATAAGGTAAATATCCTTCTACCTTAAGGGATTTAATAAAACTTAATGGCAGGCTTTCCTGAAAATCACTTATCTATTTGGATAATGTAGCTACAAAAGGTTAAAGATTGCTTTGGACTGCATGTAACAGCTCCCAAAATAGTGGCTTAATCAAATTAAGATCTTATTTTTCTCATGTAATGACAAGCTGGAGGAGACATTCCAAGGCTGATATGATGGCGTCAGGATATCTTCCCAGGCTCCTCCTGCCCTTCTGGCCACTCCTCTCTGTGTGCTTGTTACTTCACATCAGCTGTCTTGATACAACTGCAGCATTGTGTCCACATATCAGACAAGAAGGAAAAGGGAACGGGCCAGCCGAGTTAGTCTAATTACTGAGCCTTCCTGGGAGACCTAGCCAGAGTGGTGCCATGGATTATTTCCAACTGCAAGTAAGGCTGAACAATGTAGGTGTTTTTAGCTGAGCATGCTGCCACCCCCAACAAAATCCTGTAGCCTTAGATACTGGGTAGACAACTAATAGTTTCTGCAAGAGCAAGTTATGACTATTCAAGTCTTTCATTTGGCTTGTTTCAGTTAATCACGTTTACACCATCTGTCTTATTTGTGTTATGGATTTTAATACACATCTGACTTATTTTTTCCCTCATACTCTAAGAGCACCTGTCTTTGTGAACTATCTGAAATGTGACTGTGACCCCAGAAAGTAAACAGAAAGCTCCTGAGTCTTGGGAATTACAATTTTGAAAACCGATGTACAAGTCATATATCCTTAGGGCCATAGAGCCAATTAGTTGGTTTTAATTTATATATTATACCGTTGATTTTGATATTTCACTTTTTATCCCAGTTAATCTAATCAGAAGGGAGAAACATGCTGTAGAAAGTAACTCAAAGACATTAGAGCTCACAGAGGCAAGCCTGGTGTAATAATTGATGTCTGTAGGTATGACTCAGAATCATAAACATAGTGTTTAAGTTAGTCTGTTTAACAAGTAGCAATGTGTGTATTACTTTTTAGAAAATGGTAATCATAAAAGTTATAATCAAATTTAATATTTAAAGGATAAACTTTTTCACCTGGAAAATCTATTTATGCATAATATCTCATTCCCTAATGACTCTGGTTGAATGACAGGTGACTACCACATATAATTTAGTATCCATCATTATATGAGTGTCTGTATTTAATTCAATTTACTTTTGTACTTTAACTCAGTATTTGTGTTTCTCTTTACTTGTATTGTTATAGTAGCATCTGTTGCATATTGCCTGTTACTTATTAATTATTTCCATGTTTGTATGTTGCCGTTAGTGGATTTTTAAATTCTTTCAGACTTCGCTCACTCATTTACTCAATAAATATTTGAGTACCTGTGTGGCAGTCACTTTACCTCACGCTGGGGGTGTACAGTACTAAACAAACAAAACAGACCTGCTCCCCACCCTCTGGGAGTTTAGGGCCTTTAGAGGAAACACAGTAATCAGTTGTTAATCACACACATGAATGTGTAATTCCAGACAAGGGTTAGTTTAGGAAATGAAACTAGAGGGTCAGCAAGGCTTCCCTAAGGGGTTGATGTTTGACCCAAGAGCTGCCGGGTGGGTGGTGGGTTAACTGGGTGGGGTAGAGGGAAGACTCTGAGGGTCCCGAGGTGGGAAAGAGCTTGAGGGCGCATTGGTGAGGAGGCCTGGCACAGGTTTCAAGGTAGGCCTGCTGTCGTCTCTCCATCATTAGACCACAGGCCACGTAAGGATTTTGGTTCTCATCCAAAAGAGCAGGAGGAAACCACTGAGGGTTTTAAGCAGTGGAATATTGTCAGATTAGCATTTTAAAAAATCACTGATGTTTCCCCCCCACTGATACACATTCAGTAAGTAGGTGCTTAGATAAATATTTCTCTAATTGAACTTAGTTTTTGGTGTAATTTTCATATACCTTAGTATGTTTCAGCACCTTTAACCCAGTGCTTCTAACCTATTTGATATCACGGCATGTACAGAAAATGATAATGTGTGTGCTGCACTTGGCAGTAGCCGAGGCTTGCTGCTGGAGGGAACCTGTCCCAGGATCCCGCTGCCCAGGCCCTGCCCTGCTGTCTCAGGGCTGGGGAGCACTGTAGCTTATGCTGTGACTCATTCTAGGCACAGGCTGGGCAGCTCTGATGTAGCTAGTAGGGGCTTTAGTTTAATGAATTAAGGTTATAAGGGAAGGCTTAAAAAAACTACATAATATATACAGCACCTGTATTGTTTTTATTTATTGCTTTACTTTCTCTAGTCCTGATAAAACATCTTATACGTACAATAAAACCACATTCTATATCATATTCTAACTGTATTGGTAGAGAATTTGGTTACCACAGATATCCTAAGATTTTTATATACATCGTGGTAATTACTTTTCAGTGCCTAGTATTATTCATGCTTATTTTGAATAAAATTGCAGTGCCAAAAACAGACTGCTAATGCTGTCATAAAGAAAGTCTCATTTTCTCTTTGACTTTTACATTATTAGTAATCTGAGAACTTAAGAATTCAGAGGTGTTTCTAAATTAATGAAATACTATAAATAGCGCTTAACATAACATCAGGAAAAAGTAAGTGTGCTGTAATTAACTGGTATTTCAGCTAAAGTACAGCATCTTGACAAGTTCTCTGTGTCTTTTATATCTCCAGTGTGGCCAGACTCCACTGATGATAGCTGCTGAACAAGGCAATCTGGAAATAGTGAAAGAATTAATTAAGAATGGAGCTAATTGCAATCTGGAAGATATGGTATATATTGAAATAATTTACTCATTTGTCTTTTTCTTTTCCTTAACTTTGCTTTTAAGAAATGATTCAGAAGTAATAGATTATAGATTATACTTCTTCTGTATCTCAACTTTGCCTAGTAATAGTCTAACTCAATTTTTTAAAAGGGGTAATAATAACAGGAGAGAAATTTTTACTTTCAGTGAAAATTCTCAGCTCTTCAGGTTTTTTTATGTATAGATGGCACTGGTTGAATAGGGAGCACATATACTTAAAATTAAATGCCTGCCTAGAAGATATGTATGAGTCATATTGTTAAGTAACTCCCCATAATGGTATCTTATTATTATAAATATCACATATGATAAGCCAGAAAGATGTGGTCCCTTCTGATATCGTTTATGAGGGATAAATCACTATTCCAAGAGGCTTACTTTCTCTGTTTCCCAGGAGTTATTTTTCAGGGTCACACAGCTATATCTGTTTTTCTGTTTGTTTTTATGATTCAAATTGATGATATTAAATTGGTGATTTTAATTGAGTGATCATTTGAGTTAATTTATAGTACACTCATGGATAAAAGTTAGGATAGGATACTTGTAGGCTTTATTTAAAAAAATAAAGAATAGTTCTTTATCATACAGTTTCTAAACTCATCATATGGGATCTCTTTAATAGTTTGTAAATGTGCTCTTAAATCTGATTGCAGGCTCTTTACTTTCAACTTATAGTAATGGTTGCTAACCACAAGGGTTAGCTTTGAGGTTTTGATAGTCATCTTTTCTCCTTTTTGAAAAACACAGTATGTGATTAGAAGTCCAGTGAAAAGACTGAACAAGCAGTTGTGAAACATTTTACACCATTGTAGTCATACAGGTAGACAGATAAATTCTTAACAGAGCTTATGCTTCAGTGTAATTTCAGAGTAGTTTAGAGTGGGTTGGATCATGTCAATTTGGTATGATCATCTGGTATATAAATTCACATTTATTTTTCCTCACTTTGGAATGTTATTTTTGGTTTTGAAATGATAACATTTGTGTCTGTGTGTTCAAGGATAACTGGACAGCACTTATATCAGCGTCAAAAGAAGGGCACCTGCACATTGTGGAAGAACTGCTTAAATGTGGGGCTAACCTGGAGCACCGTGATATGGTATGGACATTCTTTATCCATTGTTAACCAGCTGGAATCTTATTAGCAGTAATGGATATGTGTTAAGTCCTGTATTTTTATGTGTGAGGTGATACTATAATAATGTTTTTAGGATTTGGGATTGGGCGTTGAAATGACTCTCAAGAATGTTTTAAAACCCAGTGATATAATGCACCTCTTTTAGAATATTCTTAGTCATTATTTTCTGTTTATTTCAGAATTTTAATTCTGAAATGTTGTTAAAACAACTTATTACCCTTTATACTGTATCAGTTTTAGAACTCATGAGAAAGTTGTTCCCTTTAAGGAGAACTTTAAGAGGGACATAGTATAGTCTTAAAAATATTTTCAGTTGTTTAAAGTCATGATTTTCAGAATAATATTTATAAACTTATTTTCAAAATGTGATTGTGTTCCTAATGCCATCTGTACACATTACAAGTTTAACAAGATACGATTCTTAATTATCTTAGCTCTTATTTGATCTTGGCATCTGCTTAAAGCATAAAGGTGAAGAAAGGGATCATTTCTGGCTTAATTATTCTGCAAAATGTACAGCCTTTTCAAAGATTATTTTTAACAGGGGAAAAAAAGAAGGGATTGAACTGCCTTGATATAGACAACATGTACTTTGCTGCTGATGCTTTATGAAGTACAGGTGGTCGGAATTTTTAAGAAACTGCAGCACTCCACCATCTTGCACTTAATATTGTACGATGTAATATACACAGTGTTCTTCTACAGTGTTATATTTATTCTTAAAACTTAGTGAAGTGGGGCTTCCCTGGTGGCACAGTGGTTGAGAGTCCACCTGCCGATGCAGGGGACACGGGTTCGTGCCCCGGTCCGGGAAGATCCCACATGCCGCGGAGCGGCTGGGCCCCTGAGCCATGGCCGCTGAGCCTGTGCGTCCGGAGCCTGTGCTCCGCAACGGGAGAGGCTACAGCAGTGAGAGGCCCGCGTACCGCAAAAAAAACAAAGAAACAAAAAAACAAAACTTAGTGAAGTGGTTGGTATACTTATTTTTATAGAAGGATACAGAACCATTTGTATCCTCCCTATTTCTGAAAAGAAATTGAAGTACATTGCTATAAAAATTTAGGGAGAGAAGGTAATGATGTCAGTAACCTAGCCAAAGGATGGGTATGGCAGGTAAAGTAAAATGCAGTGTTCTTATCTTAACTGGTGTATAATAAAGCAGAAGAGAAATTCATGGAATTACCTAGTTCTCAATATTTTATTAAAAGCACCATACCATTTTATCAGATGAATTAATATTAGGTAGCTTTTGTATGCCTGAACCCTTCAGGTGCTTTTTAGCCTCTCTCTCATTAATTGACTTCTGAGAAGAATCCTATGGGCTAAGGGTTAATTTTGTTCTCAGCGTACATAGTTCAGGAAATTGAGACTGGAAGAAATACTCTTTGCCCAAAGTCACTTAGCTCTTAAGCAGTCAGACTGAGTTTTGAACCCAGGACTGCTTACCCCAAAGGCTTTCTCCTTTATCATTCTTCCACATATATCAGCAAGGGAGTTAGGAACTATAAAGTATACATTGTGAATGTGTAAAAACTTGTCAAGATTTGTAAAAAATGGTTTCTTAAACTTTCTTAGTTCTCCATATTTCTCATTTCCCTGAAGTACTTATCAAATCACAGCACATTTTAACATTTAAAGGGCCTCTGTGTTTGGCTTTTAAACACCCCAAATTAGGGAAACTGAGGACTGTGTCTCCCTTAGTAGTTAGTATTGAGAGACCCTAACGTCAGAGAATTGGGTGGGTGGTGGCAGCTGCTGAACTGTGAGGCAGGGCAGAGTCCCTGGGACTTGTGTGAGGAGAGGAGGTTGTACCAGGGGTTGTCTGGGATTCAGGAATAATTCCAGGATATAATGTCAGGAAGTCTAGTGAGGATTCTTCCTTGAGAAGACCTTTAATGGACACCAAACTACAGCATTGCTATAGGCAGTCATTTCCAGGCTTTTCATTTTGCAAATTTGGGCATAGGTTCCTCAAGATTAAATTTTTATCTCAGAGATTCTTGCATAGGGTGATACTATACAAATTAAAATGAGGGAATGATATTAACACAATTCTGGGCAGGAATTTTACAGATTACAGTATTGGTGTAAGACTTGACTAAATGCCCAGCTCTGTAATTTGACCTAAATAAGTTATGTCAGCCTTTCTTTGTCTTTCATGATCTTGACACCTTTGAAGACCTCTTGTCTGGCATTCTTAGAATGTCTCTCAATTTGGATTTGTCTGATGTTTCTAATGATTAGACTGAGATTGTGCTTTATTGGGAAGGAGGTGATATGCCCTTCTTAGTGTACCATATCTAGGTACATACATCACCAGAATGTATCACTGGTGATGTATCTTGGCTAAGGTAGTGTCTGTCAGATTTCCCTTTGTAATTACTAAATATTTGAGGGAAGATACTTTGAGACTATACAAATATCTTGTTTTTGATTAAACTTTCATTCATTTATTTTAGCATCCATCAATGCATCTTGCATGCAGCAGTCATGACTGTGGTGTTATAATGGTGATTTTTCTATTTTCATCATTCCGTCTACATTTATTAATTAGAATTCTTCTGTAAAGAAGAGTTCTCTCTCTCTGACTCTGTCTCTCCAAATATATATCTATATATAGATATATGTAGATATACATTTTAGCATTTCCTTACTTTCTGGCATTACAAAATGCTTCAGGCTCAGGTTCATCTTATATTTTCCCTGCCTTATTTCCCTGATTATCAGCCCTGGAATCAATCAGTTTTCCAAGGAACCCTAGTTCCTGTTTTTCGAAAATGATATTTAGAAACCAGTAATCTAGGTGTTAGGTATGCTTATTGTTACTGGGATGTCACTGCTGTAGTGCTTCTCATTGGATAGATGTAGGAAATACATGTTTGTATATTAACTCTTGCATACACATACATCTGTTCTGTATCTGTGTGTGTGTATATATATATATATATTTTTTTTTTTTTTAGATAGACTAGGTCGATAACCATGAACCCAATCCACTGTAGCCTTCCCCCTTTTCTTAATTTGTAACTCTCCTCTGACTGTGAGAAATCTGGCTCTCACTATCCACACTATATATTTACTTATTTGTTCACCTCTAGTATACAAATAGTTTCAGAATTTCTAATCCATACCGTGAGAGAAACAGATTTGCTACTAAATACATTGTTTGTGTACAGTTCTTTTCGTCTTTAGCATTATTACAGAATTCAGTCAAAATATTGCTTTCCAGAGTTACCTAGATCAGCTTCTAAGTAATTATGTGATTCGTTTGTAATATAATTAATTCATCCCAGTCTATATTCTGTCTTCCCCATATTCTAGTTGATTTTTAAAACATTTACTTACAATAAAATTCATCTCTCTGGTGTTCAGTTCTGTGGGTTTTGACAAGCGCATGATGTCACATGTCCACCGCCACAGCTCTGTACAGAGCAGTTGCATCATTTCAACAGTACCTCATGCTGCTGCTTCATAACCAGCCCCTTCACCCACTCCCCAACCCATGGCTACCACTGATCTGCTTTCCCTTTCTATAGTTTTGCCTTTTTCGGATTAGGGCAAATATTTTTCTTAAATCTCTTTTTTAGTGACAATGAAACAGAATCAGAAGGATTAAGTGATTTATATTCTTGAACCCAAATTTGGATTGGTGCAAATACTGATTTAAAAAAAAAAGCAAACAAAACATTCACTTCTTAGTATAATTTGATTGCATTTGTCTCTTTCATTGAACTGCATTATAAAGAGAACATTGCCAAAACAAGAACACTACTCCTGTAGCTTAAAAAATAGAAAGTTACCATGCTGTTAATTCATACTTAATGACTTTGCCCACCCCTGGAAATCATGGTCTACAGATCATTGCCTTCTCATCCTCTCTTTTTTAGCAAGAGGTATGATAATGATCTGGAATTTATAGGATGGGTTTAGATGCAGGAGTTGAATAGGGTTCCTGGAACCCCTCCCTGGAAAACGTCTAGACTCATACCAGGAGGAGAATATCTGGAGACATAGAATGTTTACTGAAGGAAAATATTTATAAAACCAAAATAAATCTTGGAAATTTGGAAAGAGTCCAACATGAATCTTCTCTATGTCAGTTTCCAAAATATAATAAAACTTCGGAGTAATCACTACTGGACTTAAGAGATTTGACTTTTTTCAGATACTATTGTGTATTTCTCTGGGGAGCTTAGGTATTTAAAACTACATAGCAGTGATTTCTTAAAACAATGGTTCTGTAAAGAATAAAGCTTACAAAAGGAACTTCATTAATGCCATTTTTGTGCTTAGAGACAATCCAGTGTTTTGTTTCCCTCCCCCGCCCCACGTTTTTGCTTTCTTTAGGGAGGATGGACAGCTCTTATGTGGGCATGTTATAAAGGCCGTACTGAAGTGGTCGAGTTGCTTCTTTCTAATGGTGCCAATCCAAGTGTTACTGGTCTGGTAAGCGTTACAAAAAATCCATCTGTAATGTAAGTGGTAAGTTCTTTTAGGGAATACTTAAGGCTGGTTATGCTTTGGACTTCGTAGTGGATAAAAATGATCTAGATCTTACTAAAAGATAATAATGCAGAATGTGATTTCAAAACACAATGAGAATTTTTTTCTGAGGCTAAGCTTATTTCTCAGTTTTTATCAACAAAAAGGCAACTCTTAGAGTTAATAAATGTTAATTATAACTATACAATATTTCAAAAGGAGATTTTGAAATCCTTAAGTCATCTTACCTGTTTGCGTATGTATTCTTAATCTAAACTCTTTTAAAGAAAAGAGACATTTACCAAATATCCATGCCACTTTTCTGTATTCTTTTTTTTTTTTCTGGCCCTCTCCACTGCTAAAACCTTACTCCAAGTCACCTGTATTAGTTTTCTGTGGTTGCTGTAACATCACCACAAACTTGGTGGCTAAAAACAGCAGACTGTACGTTCTTATAGGTGGTAATACATGCATTACTATTGTACTTTGCTTGAGACTTGATCTCAGACTGCAGATTAAGAAATTGTTTTATTGATGGGGCGATTCCTTTCACGATGTATATGTAATGTCAGATCATTATGTGCACTTTAAATGTCTTACAATTTTATTTGTCAGTTATACCTCAGTACAGCTGAAAAAAAGGAAATGGTTTTATTCAAGTTAATGGACGGATTATAAAGAAAGGTTTTATATTCTTATTAGTCTTAACCTGTTGGTTAGATAATTACATTGTGTATTGAATCTATAAAAATAGATGTGTTCATAATATATTTAAGGTTGAGTGCATCTCAGTTCCCAGTTATGTATTATGAGTATGACATGTGTTTTTAAAGTGGAGAATGGTCTGTAACTTGATTTTGTAAAATACTACTTTATATTGCTCCCTTTGTTGTTTCCTCTTCTTAGCAAATGTGTGCTGTAAATATCCACCTAAAAGACTTTTTCTTTCCCTCCCTCCGTCCCTCCCTCCCTGTGTACCTACTCACCCACCTGCCTACCTCCCAGCAGTACAGTGTTTACCCAATCATCTGGGCAGCAGGGAGAGGCCATGCAGATATAGTGCAACTTTTACTGCAAAATGGTGCTAAAGTCAACTGCTCCGATAAGGTAGGTCAGCAGGATCTTTCCAGGTTCTAGTTCATATTATGTCCACTCAGTGTGTCTAACTTACAAGGATTTTCATATGATCTCATGCGGCGGCTCTGATGTATCTTATGTTTATATTTATTAATACATTTTATAAAGACACACATCTCATAGGTGGGTTCCTCCTAGGTATTAAATACGTGCTAAGTGTCCTTCCATTGTCTTTTATATCACATTCATCATTCTCAGGAAAATAGATAGGGTTGATTCCCTATCTTCATTATTTACTGTTGTAGCTCTTCTTTCTACTGTGGATCCTGTCTGCCTTCTCTGTATTGTTGCCAGATGATCTTTTTTTTTTTTTGCGGTACGTGGGCCTCTCACTGTTGTGGCCTCTCGCGTTGTGGAGCACAGGCTCCGGATGCGCAGGCTCAGCGGCCATGGCTCACGGGCCCAGCCGCTGTGATCCTCCCGGACCGGGGCACGAACCTGTGTCCCCTGCATTGGCAGGCGGACTCTCAACCACTGAGCCACCAGGGAAGCCCCCAGATGATCTTTTAAAATTTAAGTCTTGTTCTTTCTCTCTCATATTTAAAATCCTAAAGACATCAATCCCTGTTATGATGTATAAAGATAATCCTTGCCTCCGTCTCTACCCTCTCTCCTGCTCTCTCTACCCCAAACTACCTTTGCTCAACTATGAAATGATGCAGGTTCCTGAGTCTATCTGTTTTTAACCCTCCACATCTTGCAGGTGCTCTTTCACAGTGTGGAGTGCCCTCTCATCCTTGTCTGCTTTAGCTTCTGTTCATCCTTCACACTCAGCTCGTGTGCCATCAGCTCCAGAAAGCTCCCCAGGATTTTGTTCTATTCATTTTTTAAAATCCTTAAGACCCCAAATATTTGATAAATATTTATTTAATTATTTCATTCTTTCTTGCTTTTGGAGAGCTTTGATAGCTTCTGTGGTTTCAGGGCAAAGCCCAGACTTTTCAGTTGGACCCCAGTCTTTCTTCCCAGGTTCACTTCTTGCCATTCGTCTCCATATACACTAAGCTTTTGGATACAGAAGATTGTCTATCATTCTGTGAACTTTTTTCTTTATTTATTTACTTATTTATTTTTGGCTGCGTTGGGTCTTTGTTGATGCGCGCGGGCTTTCTCTAGTGGCGGCGAGTGGGGGCTACTCTTCGTTGTGGTGCGTGGGCTTCTTATTGTGGTGGCTTCTCTTGTTGCGGAGCACGGGCTCTAGGTGCATGGGCTTCAGTAGTGTGGTACGCAGGCTCAGTAGTTGAGGCACTACTACTCAGTAGTTGTGGCTCGCGGACTCTAGAGCACAGGCTCACTAGTTGTGGCGCACGGGCTTAGTTGCTCCGCGGCATGTGGGATCTTCCTGGACCAGGGCTCGAACCCGTGTCCCCTGCATTGGCAGGCGGATTCATAACCACTGCACCACCAGGGAAGCCCCATTCTGTGAACTTTTATGAATTTCTATGAAGTGCGTGTCGTTGTTTATCCTATCCCCTCTGCTAGGAATGTTATGACCTCCTCTGCCTGATGAACTCCTATTTATTCTCTCAAGGCTCAGTTGAGGTGTTAGCTTCTCTGTTAAGTCTCCTTAACTTACCCAGTCAACTTAGATGCCCCTTCTTCTGTAGTCAATATTCACTGTCCAGACCTCCATCAGTGTACAAAAGTTCTGTTGGTCAAGGCTGTTATAAAAAGTAGGTATTCATTAAATGTTCATTTCAACCTGCAGTCTCCCATGTAGTTAAATGTCACTGTGAGTGTTCTTGTGTCTCTTCATTGTCTTATGAATCTCCCCAAAGATAAAGCATTGCTTTTATGCGTGATTTACATTCTCTGATGTCTTTTGAATCACGTTCCAGCAGAAGGTGCTTTTGAGTGCAGTTTCTAGGCGGACATTTATTTTGTCAGGTACAGAGGCCGATCTGGGGTGGTGGTTAAGAGCACAGACTGAAGCCAGGCTTGTTGGGTTCATGGGTCTTGCTCCACCTCTTAGTAGCTTTGTGACTTCGAGCCTGTAATTAACTTCTCAGGGCCTTGTTTGCTCATCTGTTAAAATGTGATATTGTGGTTTGTACTTATTCTTCTGTTAAGGATTACACACGTTAACGCGTGTAAACTATTTAGAACTGTATTTGGCACTTGGTTGTTACTATTTCAGACTGTTGGACTTTATATTTCACAAGATATGGGAAGCAAAGAAAGCTTGTTGGAAATTAGAGGCTGTATGACATTATGATGGAAAAATTGTCACTGATTGTAAAAGTTAAAGTTAATTAAAATACATTTCATGCAGTGGTTAATCATCTATTAAGGAGAAATAGTATGGGGAAAATATGATTTATCTAGGGTTAAAATTATGATTGGTATAAACCATAATCTAAAAATGCTCAAAGTATGATTTTTATCAAAATTCATGGTGAGAGCTAGTTTCTTTTAATACACCTTAGGTAATAATTTTAAATTTATTATTTCTTTAATAGTATGGAACCACCCCGTTGGTTTGGGCTGCACGAAAGGGTCATTTGGAATGTGTAAAACATTTATTGGCTATGGGGGCTGATGTTGATCAAGAAGGAGCTGTAAGTATCTTTTCTATTTTAACTGCTGGTAGTAGAGAGATGTTTTTAGTTTTAAGAGAGAGAATACTTTTTCCTTAGTATATACCTAGAAAAATTTCCCTATAGTTTCTAAATGATACTTAGAAAAACAAACATCTTCTGTTATCCCAGTAAATATATTATAGATATTATGTATTACAGATATGTGCTTTTAAGGATTTATTGCTAATGCACATAAATTTTGGGAGGCTAAAACTATATGGAATATCTTTTAGTAATCTTAGTATAAATTAAAATACTCCCCAAATCAAGTTGTTTGAATTACTATTGTGGAAAGAGTTTCTATTTTGTTAAAATAACTTTTCTTTAAAATTCTAAAATAATATCATAATTTTTTGATATTTTAATCTGTGACTTGTTTTCTCTAATAGGCAGATTTAAAAATATCAAAAATCAGTGGTCAAAACCTATATAGCTTAAAAATTGGTTCAGTATATCTTACAGTCTAGCAGTTATGAATTCCTTATTGAGTACCCACTGTCCACCCAGCCCTGTGCCAGACGTGCTGGGGATACTGGAGAAGCCTATCATATCGCTCTTCTCTTGAGCTTGTAAGAATATAGGTAAAGGAGACGACATTTATGCACAAGAAACAATACAGACTTCTGTTAACATAATTATTGTTATTATGTGAGATGGATCATAAAGGATTCTGAGAAGAGTTGCTACCAAATCTCTGGCTGCAATGTAACAAAAGTGAATTCTAAATCATTAAAAGTGACTTCCTGGCATAATACCAACCAGCTCCTCCTATTGTCCATGTTGACAGAAGCTACTAATTGATGACCTTCGAGGGGTACATAATATTTTAGTGGTGTGCGGAGATCGAGCATGATTCTTACCCAGCCATGGAAGTCATACCTTTCACTTGCCTCCTTTCTGGACAGTTTATCAAGTGGATGAGTGGCTTGTCTCTATGATTATTGACTGCTGAGGAATCTGAAAAGGCGGTGTTATTTTAATATTGAGAGAATTATGGCTTAGTTCTGGGGGCTGATATAATAACTGAAATACTTCTGTAAGGAAATTGCATGGTATCTCAAACTAGATCAAAATCTCAATAATAAGTTTTAATATTTATTTTGTAATGAGTCAGATTCTTCTATTTTGTGATTTTGTTATAAATTAAATGTGCAGTTTTTAAAAGAACCACTAAAAATAAGACAGTTTTGAAAATGTGGTTTGTAGATCACTGTGGAAAACAGAGGAATATGTTATACTTCTATTGAAATATTCTATAGCTTATTAATTCATTGTTTTACTTCAGTTTTTCATACAGATTTTATTATAGACAATTCTTTGAAGTCTGATTGATTCTTACTTTGGATTATTTAACTTAGAATGTGTTTAATTTTGAATCATCCTGTCAGCTATTTTATATGTCAATACTTGAGTGAGAGGGTTTGTTCATTGTAAATGACTCCAATTTTGGATTATCATTTAAAGAATTGAATGTCGTAACAGTCCTATTGACCGAAGAGAATTAATGTATCTTCAAAAATGGAAAATATGCTTCTGGCCACTTTTGGTCTGTTTCTGGTTATTTATATTGGCATTTTATTATCAGAAATAACTGTTAATAATAGGCCACCTATTTGAAAACATCCGTTTTTTGACTATAGAATAAATTATATGTTTTCTGAAAGTACTAATTCCTTGGGTGTTGTTTGATTTGTAGAATTCAATGACTGCACTTATTGTGGCAGTAAAAGGAGGCTACACACAGTCAGTAAAAGAAATTTTGAAGAGGAATCCAAATGTAAATTTAACCGATAAGGATGGAAATACAGCTTTGATGATTGCATCAAAGGAGGGACATACAGAAATTGTACAGGATCTACTTGATGCTGGAACATATGTGAACATACCTGATAGGGTAGGTTATCTATTTAGAATTTGTCTTTCAGTGGTGACATTGATGGAAGGTTACCTTAACTTCTCACCACCTTTCAAGATTCTTCCTGCATGACATACATTTAAGATGTTTTATTTCTGCCTTTAGAACTAATAAGTTAAAACTTTCCAATCTTTGTGAAGGGTGTTCTTTTAAATTTTTCAGAAATAATGCTGTTATTGAAAATGTGATCTTGAAACCATCCTAACTATAGGTGTTGTTCATGGCTGTTGTTATTCATTGTTCCAAGGCTTCAAGTCTCCCACCCTTACACCTAGAATTTTCAAATTGGTATCTCTTGCTCTCACCTCTTCTCGGAAGTCTACACTTGTCTGTCCAGCTCAACTTGAACTGTCCACTTGAATGTCTAATGGGCTTCTTAACTTACAGCAAAACAGGTGTCTTGTTTGTTTCATCCCACACCTGCTTTTCCCTCAGTCTTCTCCCTCTCAGTAAGTGGTACCAGCATCTATATATCCTGTTGTTAAAGCACCAAATCCTACACATTAGTCCTGATTTCTCAAGACTACCCAAGCCAAAGTAGCTACCCAGTCACTTTCTATCAAATCACTATATTTTATTTGCATTACATTTATCTGATTTCTTATTTGTGTTTATTGTATGTTGTCTGTTAGTCTCCTCTAGGCTATAAATTCTCTCAGAGCTGGGACCTTGTCTATCTTATTTCCTAGTGCCTAGAACAGTGCATGGCACATCGTAAGCAATGAAATATTTATAACCTTTTATTAATTTACTAGTCTGAACCCACATTAATGCTAATATTCTCAACTAAAATGTGTCTGCCATGGGTTTATTTACACTTTTAATGTAGTAGTTAAGGTACTACATCATGGTGCTAGACTTAATAATCCTCGAGGACCTGCATCTTGATATAGAGCCCACTGGGGCCCACTTAGGATTGAGATGAGCTGTAGCTCATGGAATCACCCATCCCAAACTCATACAACTGATTTGTAATTTAGCAGTTAAAAAAAAAGGCCATTTACAGTATTTGAACTAGGGGAAGATATAATTAATAATGATTATTGCTTGGTGGATATAATTTCAGGGCAGAGGTGTCCCTATGAGGTAGTGAACTTCATCTAAGCCTTGTACTGGGGAGTGAGTCTTGTGCACTGTTGGCCTGTAATGCCAGATTGATAGAATATAGATGCTGTTCTGGGAACCAGCCTTCTCCCTTAATTAAATGTGGTTATAAACCCACAGATGGCTCTAGCTTTATAACTCCTTTCTTTTTAGAATCCATGGCTTTTGTCATATAGCATTATTCCAAGGGATTTGTATTATGTAATTTCCAAATGTTCATCTGGTTCATTGACAGCCACTGTGTCATTTTATTTAATTTACATCTGTAATGGGAGGTTGGTTACCTTCAAATAGAATGGCTTATTGTTCTGGGTGACTTATCTTGCTAAACTTTTGTCGTGGAATTTCAGGTATAAATGTTCTCATTTTGAGGTATAAAGTCTTCTGTCCCTTATTCTGAAGGCTATTAATAACAGGTATTAATATTAGTTAACTTTCTGTTATTTAGAGATAATTTTTTCCAAGAAATTTTCAGAAAAAATCTGTTAAATTAATACATGACTAATTTTAACTTCAAAAAAGTGTTTTTTGTTCCATCAATTCACCTTGGGTTTTTTTTTGTCTTTTTAGAGTGGAGATACTGTTTTAATTGGTGCTGTCAGAGGTGGTCATGTGGAAATTGTTCGAGCACTTCTTCAAAAATATGCTGATATAGACATTAGAGGACAGGTGTGTGTGATTACAGGGCTGTTGTTATCTTAGTATAATTGTTTGTATATGTTGGCTGATCATAATGTCATTCTTCCAGTTTTCCTATGGAGACAAACATATAAATCCTAGTACGTTTAATGGATGCCTGTATTATTAAGTTTCACTGCCATTATTATGAAATTTCTGTATTGATGTCAAGTTACATTTAGATAGAAGTAAAGCATAAAGAAGTTCATGTTTTTCAAATACACCTCCCTTACTAATGTCTGAATATATTCAGTTGTGACATGAGTAGTTTATGATACCGAGGCAGTTGGTGGCACTTTGAGTGTATGGGACTTATTTTCTTTAGTATGTGTTTCCTCTGTTTTTTCTTCTTCATCCATGTATTGTTCTTCTACTCCTGTTGTTTCATCTTTCTTCTCCTTTTCCCCCATTTGCTAGCCTTTCCCAGGACCACTTGGTAGTGCCTATGGATTTTGCTTAAGGCAGTCATAGCTCACAGAGCTGTAAAGGTTATTTATTTTAGGGAAAAGCTTCCCTAAAGTTGAGAATATATCCAATATGTCAAGAGCTTTAGATTTAAAAAAAACTGTACTGAACAGCCTGTTTTGTGGTTGGAGAGTCTACGTTTCTGCTCAGTTTTTTTCCTTGTATTTAGCTTGTATCCAAATCCACTTTTGAATCAAACTGATAAATATTATGCCAAATGCCATGAGGGTCTTAACATGGGTCCCTTGCCTGAAGAAACATGTGTTTTAGTTAGGAAGGTTTTAGTTTGTTTTGTTTATATTTATTCTTATGTTTTTATGTAAACATAAAAAGTGTTGCCACTTTTGGTATAAGATAGTATATGATCGCCTAGTGAAAGGTTCAAATGTAAGAGTCTTGAGGTGGGGAAAGTGGGCGTTAAGGAGAGCTTTTAAGGGAAGGTAGAATTTGAGCTAAGTTTAAAAGGTGGGTTAGATAGGGAGAGAAAAGGAAGGCTCGGTAGTTCAGGCAAGGATAGTGGAATAATGGGATGAGAAAATTTAGCAAGAAGGGAAAGTGAAAGACTGTATTCCTTAGTTGGTGAATAAATCAGCTTGTCAGCAGAATGGCGGGGAGGGTGGGATGGGAGATAGAGAAATAGAAAGGGATGTAGTGCCAGAGAGGCTGGAAACTAGTGTACAGTGTTGAGAAGGGAACTGCATTGGGGAAATCTTGGTGTCGGAAAATTAATGTGGCAGCGGCAGAGAGTCATTCACTGTCTTTTGGGATAAAATCATATTTTCACTAAAAGTTGGTGACTGGATCACCTACTTAGACTCTTACCGATCTCCTTAGTGTCTGTCAATTTTGTTTTCCTATGTTTTAGTCAGTGTTTTTGTTCTCTACCTCTGCATTCAAAGTCCACATGGATCTGTTTTTGGTTTTTGAACTAGATAGGATTTTAAAGGATCTGATGAAGATCAGTATATAGGTGCAGTGTAGAGATTAAGAAAGCTAAACATGGTAAAAAAACAATTCACCGTATGTTTGTGTAGTACACTCTTATGCATTATCTTTTGAAAAGATTGGGCAGATGAAAAGCCAAAAGCCAAAAGTCAGAATATTTATGTGACTTATTCACAGGATACAGAGCTCAGGTACTGATGACTTCCAACACAGTGCAGGGTCCTGAAACCTGTTTGCTTTCCAAAAGCATAGTTTCCCTTATCAACTATGTGGGGTTGCTGCTTTCTCAGTCAAGAAATATTAAGTTTTCTTAGGCTTCTTTCATAAAGAATTTCTCACAAGTAAATGCAAGATAGAATAAGGATTAATGTTATTTTCCACAATGCTGCTTCTTGGTAAGATATGTTAATGCTTTAATAGAAATGTTAATAATGTTTTATATTTACAAATAGAAGTTTTTAGTATTATATCTTATATGAAGTGGTTGTTGATTTTTTTATTATGCAGGACAATAAAACTGCTTTGTATTGGGCTGTTGAGAAAGGAAATGCAACAATGGTGAGAGATATCTTACAGTGCAATCCTGACACTGAAATATGCACAAAGGTATAAATGACATTTCTGTTCTCTTAGCAATACCTAGTGCTGAATGTTAGTACTGCTTATTTTTTTCAATTTTTTACAGTTGTTTGATATTAGAATTATACTGATTTAACTGGAAATGTTCTGTATTAAATTGAGTAAGTTTATATCCTTTCAGGAGTTGTGTATTCACAGCAAAATGCAATGTGTAATTTATTTTAATTGTTATTTAATTTATTTTAATCAGAAAGTACAGTATCAGCTCTTCATAAATTGTGGACAGATCATTTCCCCAGAATTATTTTATGCTCCTGTTGTTTGGAATGCAGAACACATTTCCTTTTAAAATATCATTGTGTGTGGTTATTGGTTCCCCAAACCAACCACTTTTAGTCTATTTTACTCAAATCATGTGGAAAGTATAAAACTGTGTAAGACTTTAGTGATTATATTTGGCTTTACATGTAATAGTTGTCCATGGGGAAAATATATTTGGAGTTCTGGATTGAAATGGCAGGAATGAATAAAGCAAACTTACGGAATCACCCGTAAGACAATCCTATTTCATCCGTTAGAGATTTGGAGCAGCATCTTCTAAACCAGTGATGGTAACCTCAGTGCCCTGGGGCAGAGCTTTTCCTGGGATACCTTCTGCTTTGCAGGTGGTGGCTCCTTGGAATCTTGTTTCTTTTTCTTTTAGACCTTTGTGTCAGCTACCGTGACCACACGTGGCTTCTGACCAGATTTTGCTTTTTCCTAATTCAGTGCTGAACTGTGGTCTCTTCTCATTTCTATTAATTTGATTTTGAAAGCAATTGTAAATTCTTTTAAGGTTTCCCAAAGGCATACTGCTTGTATCAGGTTGTTTCCCTGTTGTACACAGGTCCTTCCTTAGATACACAGAGGCGCTGGTGACAACATCTGACAGATCTAGACGCTGGCTTGTCTGGACATTGACAGGCTAGGTAGTGGGCTGCTTGGGTGAGGTGGTCAGAACGGGAAGCAGCCTCTGGAGGAGGTGGCGCAGGTGTCAGCGGTGGGCCTGGGGAAAGGCAGTGGTGAGGGGCAGAAGCGGCACATCTCTTGCTCTGCTGAGTGATATAAAAGCATTTTGATACAAGTGATTGGTTATGAAAGGAAAAGCACTTGTTAGTTTTTCCAACTATGTTTCCTTGAGAACATTTTCAATATAGACTGGTCAGATATTTGAATGCTTGACACGTGTGTTTATGTGACTTTAAAGATTTAGGAGTAAAGGTATTAATCTGGCAAACTTTCTTATCTGTGCCCACAGGATGGTGAAACACCTCTTATAAAGGCTACCAAGATGAGAAATATAGAAGTAGTAGAGCTGCTGCTGGATAAAGGAGCTAAAGTATCTGCCGTAGATAAGGTAAGAACATCCGTGTAGAGAGCAGTATTTTTTGAGGGCTATAGGTAGACTGACTGTATATCCGGTGGGTTTAATGGGGGTCTGATTTTATTTTGTGGAGGGAGAGATTACTTGCTGGGGCTATTTGTGTGGGATTTGGATGCTGTGAGATCTTCTTGGCTGTTCTGAGAGCATGCTGAGGAGTGGGCGGGCTCAGTATGCAGCAAAGCAGCTGCTTCAGAGGTTCCCTCTATGGCTCAGATCAGTTATGGCAAGCTGCATTGACCACCATGCAAGGAGGATGTCATCAGGTGTGGAGCTTGTTCAGAGAAACAGGAAGAAAGAATCCAAAAGGGGCTGGAGAAGATAGACTCTCAAAGGAGACTGGCATTCACGTTCACCAGCAGGAGAGATGTTCTGCCATGTGTCCTTGCCTTAATCCTTTTAGAGGAATGTTCATATTTTCCATAATTTAACTCTCAATTGCTTACTACTTCATATAGAATTGATTCCTGGTTTTAGTTTGTCTACATTTTAAGCAGGTTTCTTTCTCTACTTCAAATTGATTTCCTCACAGAAAAGAAGTGAATTGATTTCTGTATGAACTAAGAAATATAAATTTTTCCCTCTGAATATATAATATGATTTGGGCTCTCCTAATCCATAATAGATTGAAGTTTATCTTTTTATTATTCATGAGGCAATTAAACAAAAAACACAGAATTTATATATATTTGCCTTTTATTTTATCAAGAAACATTATTTAAAAAAACACAGAAAAGCCTCCTACCTATTATTACCATATTAATGTATTTATATATGGTATATATATTAACGTATATTAATACCATATTAATATAAAAGAAAGAAAATATAAAGAAAAATTTTAATCTTAAAAGTTAGGGCATAAAGTCAAAGAGAAGTTGTTGAAATTGAATATACTTAACTTTCTAGAAAACTTCTGTATTGCCTGTTTTTCTCATTCTGCTGTTGACTACTTTCTGGCACTGGTCCCCTAATTTGCAAAAGGGAGCCCCACTGGACTGCGTGCCCTTTAAGGTTCCCTGTCTTGGACCCTGTTGTGTGTGCTTTGTCTTGAGTCAGCACATACTTGCTGAGAAGCACACATGGTATCTGGAATGTTCTTGGAGTGAATGTGCATTCGTTCACACATACTTACAAAGGATGAATAAGGTGCTGTCCTGCTCGAATTTGGAATACAAACTTGTAAAAGTCTTGAACCTGGCTCTTCATAAAGGATTACATAAAAAAAATTTAAGAATAAAGATTAATGTTATTTTTACCTGGCCCATCACCAATCTCTGTTTATCTTCAGCATAAACAGGCAGGGTGTGTTGATGTCTTCTCTGCATTTTCAGAAATTTTGTGTCTGGCTGAAATGCCACTGATGATATTTCTTCCTTCTCACGTGTTTGGGGATAAGAAATGGAGTTCAGGTGGAGAAATAAGATGATGAAATTCAGTTTAGATGTGGTTAGTTTGAAGGCTAAGACGTTCAGGAGGCCGTGACCGATAGGGCTTGAATTTGAGCAAGAAATCAAGGCTGGTGATAGGAATTTCACGGTTAGTTACCAAGAGATGAGAGCTGCATGGAAGTGACTAAGATCATCAGTTTGGAAGAAAGATGGAAGCTGAGGTCAGACTTTCCTTACAGCGTGTGTCACATTCTAGTTTGTTTTACGAATGTGCATGTTTATCCAGTCTCCTCCTGTTACATTGTAACTTAGTTAAGGCCATGGACTGTTTTGTCTATCATCTCCATATCCCCCAAATTATCCAGCTCAGTGCCTTACTATATAGTGAGCTCGATGTGTAGCTTTTCTGCCATATTTAGGATGTAGGAAGGGAATCTAGAAAAGGAAGAAGTAGACCTGAGGCAGAAGAGGAGATTCAAAATCACGATAAGGTTGTGCTATAGAAGCCACAGGAAGTGAGTGGGTGAGAACTGAGAATTTCATTTGTTAACTTGTGGGTCATTGTCTTTAAGAGAGATGTTTGTGAAGTAAAAAGTGGAGAACACCTTGCGGACTGAATTTGTTTTTTTTTTACGTATTAGTTTTCTTTCCTTAGTGTTGGATGTGAATACTAATATGATGGAGATTCTAATAAAGGAAGAAGGCAGGTTGATGTTAGGGAGCCGTGAAAGCTGAGGAGAACGGAAGAAGTTGTAGTAGCCAGAGAAGGATGGATTCAACATAGAGGACTCTGAGGAAGAGAATGTAGGGAACTAACATAATGGTGACAAAGGGCGTGAGGAAGGACGAGGTCGCTTGTGCTAGTGGAATATCAGCATGGATTGGGAAGCTGTCTAGATAAATGGAGACCACGGTGTGAAATAGAATATAAATTAGTTGAGGAAGGTGGTTGACATCTGTGGACAGTAAGTATCTGGATGATAGATGATTACTAACCTGTGATGGAGGTGGATCCAGGGCCTGGGAGGAGCCGCAAGGAAAAAGCCTGTTGCTTGTCCTCTTTCGTTCTAGAAGGCTGTGGGAGAAATAATACCTGAGAAAAGCTAGGGAAGGAACTAGAGAAAGAAATTGTGGGGAGGATACAGAGATAAAAATTCATATTATTTATACATTCTATATGAAAAATATGAAAAGTTTGGATTTTCTGTTATTTTATAGAAGCATGAAAATTGTTACTCTGTATATACTATATGTAAGAAATGTGAAAGTTCAAGTTTCCTGCCACTATTTTACAGAAAGGAGACACTCCTTTGCATATTGCTATTCGTGGGAGGAGTCGGAAACTGGCAGAACTTCTTTTAAGAAATCCCAAAGATGGACGGTTACTTTATAGGCCCAACAAAGCAGGCGAGACTCCCTACAACATTGACTGTAGCCATCAGAAAAGTATTTTAACTCAAATATTTGGAGCCAGTAAGTATTGGGTTTTGTACCTAACTGGGCTTTTAAGAAATGAATGTCTATGAAAAAATTAAGAGACTTCCAGCAGTTTTGCATTTCTCACTTAACTGAAGATTATAAAAGTTAAGAAAGTTATTACTTTACTGTAGAAAAATAACTTTTCCCTGTCTAAAGCTGTTTTGCATTATATTGTAGCATTCACATTAAGTACATTCAGAGTCAACAATCAGCTTTTAAGACTTCTAGAAATCTAGTCTACTTTTCTAAAACTCTCTTCCCCCTGTTATTCTCTCAGGTATTCTTTGTGCTTTTATCAAAATGCACTCTGTTTTCAGAGTGTGGCTCTCTACCTTTGCTTGTGCTGTGTCCTCTCCATCCCCATGAATGTTCTTGTTAAAATCATCTCTCTCCAAGGCTGGAGTCAGTTGTCTTGTTCTCAGTGACGTTTTAACTGATCTGCCTAACCAGATACAATTTTTGCCTCATTTGAATACTTAAGCATTTGTGTTTATATTTCCTTTTTCAATACTTATTACATATGGCCTTTTATTTTGTCTCTTTTAAAATTTTCTCCCTTATTTCTTTTAGAATTTTCTCCCTTCCAGATTCCAGGTTATTCAGGGCAGGGATTCTTTCTTCTTGTATCTTCCATAACATCTAGCACATAATGCCTTGAATGTTGTACTAAAATAGTTTTTGCTTGTAAAGGATGCACATGAGAATGTAATCATTCACATGTGGTCTTTTGAAATACGGAACAGTTTTCTACTAGAGTTAAAAAAGAGACATGTTAGTCCCAGAAACCAACAGGAGATAGTAGAATCCTGCCACCTTCCAGTTTAGCTGTTTACTTACATAAGCAAGTATGATTCTGTTCAACATTATGAGTTGTATTTTAAAATATTTTTTTCTGTTGGTAATAATGCACACATTAAATTTTAAGAATTAAAACATGAATACAGTAGAAAGTGCAAATTTCCTATTTTCCTTTATCTCCTAATTTGTAATTGTTTGAATGACTTGCCAAGAGTTTCTTTACATTTCTAAAAATGTTTTATACTATGTATATAGCCTTAAAAGACTTGAGATACCATAATATAAAAGTTTTAAATAATGAACTATACCATATTTTAATTGTTGCACAATCTTTCTTTCTAAGTTCTAATAGTACATTCAGTTCTTTATTGATGAATATTTGGTTTGTTTTGCTGTTAAAAGCTAGTGCTGAAGTGAACATCTTTTTTGTACGTATATCTGTTAACTCTTATTTTTAGGATTATTTTCTTGGAATAAACTCCCAGAAGTAGAATTGGCAAGTCAGTGGATGTTCAGTTTTGATACTTGCCAAAATGGTTGTAACAATTTCTCCTTCCTTAGACCATGTATGATAATGCAGTTTCCTGCAACCTTGCTAAAACTGGATATTTCCAGCTTCCTTAAGCTTTCTAATCAGATCAATAAGAAAAAATTTCATTTTAATTTGCATTGTAAAATTATTAGTGAGATTGAGATCTTTTAATATGTTCATAGGCTATTTGCATTTTTGCTATTTTCCTCTTTGTATCCTTTGCTGTCTTTTTTCTTGAGTTTTTAAAATTATTTAAAAATTGATTTTTGTGTCTTTAAGGATATTGATCCTGGATCCAGCCTATATATTGTATCTCTCTCCCGTGCTTATTCTTTGTTTATGGTGATGGGGTTTTTTAATTCCCCATCCAAAAGTTATATAAATTTGTAGTTTACTTGTTGGTCTTTTCCTGCAGTTCTGGCTTAAGTATTATTGAGAAAGAAAGGCCTTTTCCACACAAAGATTTTTATAGTTTTTTTCTCTTATAGTTTCTTCTACTGCTTTTATAGTTTTACTCTTTACATTTAATTTTTTAATGTTTCAGAAACTTATTTTTGTTAAAGTATGAGATGCAGAGTTTTAATTTTATTTAAAAAAATGGATGGCTTACTTCTCCCAATGCCACTTACTAATTCATCCTTTCCCCACTGATTTGAAATGCCACATGTTAATATCCTGTGTGAGTTCTGTGATGTTGTAATTATTGTAGCTTTAGAATGTATTTTGATTCTTCTTCAAAGACAGCTACTTTTTGGTAGTTTTTAAATTATTTTTCATAGCTATTTTTACATGTTCTTCTTGCTTTTCAGCTTTTCAAAATACTCTCATGGAATATTATTATTGGAATTGCCTTAAAGTGGTAGATTAATTTGGGGGAGAATTGCTCTTTTTAAGTTATTGAACCTTTCTGTCTGGAACCATAGAAGGTCTCTTTTTCTCTGGTTATCTATCATGATTTTCACTAACATAGCCTTCTTTATATAGGTATTATACATATTAAAATGATTCCGAAGGACTAGTTACTGTTTTAATCATTTTATCGATTGTAAAATCTACTTTACTCCACATTTTAGCATCCCTGAAGTTGGAATATGTCTTATAATTGATGGGTAAGAAAGCGTCGTGTCATAATTTGGCAGCACTTTTTCTTTCTTGGTCGTACATAATAATGATGCATCTTATAATTAGTAGGTATCTTAAGTTTTATGAAATATGGTATTAACTTAAGCACCTCTGAACCTATTTTTACACAGGTCTAACCATTTAAAATAAGTTTTTCCTCAATTAAGTAAACAATTAATAAATGAAAACTGATGCTCCTTTTTAATAGTAATGTCTTTAATGCAAGGATATGATGTGTTTATAATTACAGGACACTTGTCTCCTACGGAAACAGATGGTGACATGCTTGGTTATGATCTGTATAGCAGTGCCCTGGCAGATATTCTCAGTGAACCTACCATGCAGCCGCCCATTTGTGTGGGGCTGTATGCACAGTGGGGAAGTGGGAAATCCTTCTTGCTCAAGAAACTAGAAGGTATGTTTGTAAAAAGTCTGCATATATAACAAAGTTTTCTCTTGTGTATTTTTGTTTTTTTAAGTAAAGAAGAATAGAGTTTTTTTTTTTAAACATCTTTATTGGAGTATAATTGCTTTACAATGGTGTAAACAATCAGTTATACATGTTATACATATACATTATCAGTTATAAATATACATATCTCTTCCCTCTTGCGTCTCCCTCCCTCCCACCGTCCCTATCCCACCCCTCTAGGTGGTCACAAAGCACTGAGCTGATCTCCCTGCACTATGCGGCTGCTTCCTGCTAGCTATCTGTTTTACGTTTGGTAGTGTACATACGTCCATGCCACTCTCTCACTTTGTCACAGCTTACCCTTACCCCTCCCCATATCCTCAAGTCCATTCTCTAGTAGGTCTGTGTCTTGCCCCTAGGTTCTTCATGACCTTTTTTTTTTTTCTTTCTTAGATTCCATATATATGTGTTAGCATATGGTATTTGTTTTTCTCTTTCTGACTTAACTTCACTCTGTATGACAGAGTCTAGGTCCATCCACCTCACTACAAATAACTCAATTTCGTTTCTATGGCTGAGTAATATTCCATTGTATATATGTGCTACATCTTCTTTATCCATTCATCTGTTGATGGACACTTAGGTTGCTTCCATGTCCTGGCTATTGTAAATAGAGCTGCGATGAACATTTTGGTACATGACTCTTTTTGAATTATGGTTTTCTCAGGGTATATGCCCAGTAGTGGGATTGCTGGGTCGTATGGTAGAATAGAGTTTTATGTATGGGTATGTGGTTGATCCTCTACACCGTTATTTGAGTTCTCTTTCTAAAACAGAGATCCAGCTGTGTTATAGCATACTTAAACCCCCTTCGTAGCACATTCCCTGCGAGTGCTGTTTATAACCGTCCTACCCAGGCCCTTCACAGACTGTCAGTTTGCGTGAGCACCCCTGCCGGGACTGCCCCCTGTGTGTGCTCAGGGCTGTAGGCGTAGGGGCTGTCTGCGCCCACGCGAGCCCACTAGACCCTTCCTGAGTGGCCTTCTCTACTAGGAGATTCCTGGACAGGTCCCCCACCTCCCCGCTAAGCCCCACTCCTTTAGTTTGGCAAAATCTCACTCGTTCTTCAAGGACAGGTGTCAGTATTGCCTGTAAAATTCTTGCTAAGTTTAGTAGTAAGAATGCCTTGTTCAGGGCTCATCTGGACTGAGCACACACCTTTAAGAGCAGTGATCCTCAAATGTAATTGGAGGGAGAAGGGGTGAGGAGGAGCGGGGAGGAATGGTGGTGCTATAGCTAGGTATAATAGTTTGAAGACACATAACAGAATAATAGTTTTTAGTTTTATATCTGGAAACAGTACCTTGTTGATTGTGTGATACAAACCACAAGAATAAATATCAACAAAATCTTAACGGATGGGAATATATGAAAGAGGATTTTGTGCATTTTCAGTAGGAAGCAAGAGAGTGGGTAGGACAAGGGTCAAGGGTAGAGGTACCCCTAGGGAATGAGATTCTTATCAGAAGAGAACGTTGGTTAAAATGGTTAAGTACCAGCATTCTATCTAGGGACTTGGTAAGTGCTCAGTAAATGTTTATATTGAAAATGTGAAAATTTCAAAATGTTTGAAGTTGTATTTCTTAAATAAAACAGAAATAATGTTTTCATATTAAATTCTCTTTCAGATGAAATGAAAACCTTTGCAGGACAACAGATTGAACCTCTTTTTCAGTTTTCATGGCTTATAGTATTTCTGACCCTGCTTCTTTGTGGAGGCCTTGGTTTATTGTTTGCTTTTACGATTGACCCAAATCTTGGAATAGCGGTGTCATTGAGCTTCTTGGCTCTCTTATATATATTTTTTAGTAAGTCTTTGCCTTTTGTCTTTTTCAAAAATGTAGAGAATGTCAAAACTCATTGTTTTACTTAAAATTGTATCTATATCTTTCTCCTAAAGTCTGTAAGAGATTTTCATAATTAGGTGAGAAAATTGATTTTTTGCTATTTTGTAAGTTGGCCTAGAGGAACATTGTCCCCAGCCTGGCTGGTACAGCTTTAAAAACTAGTGCACTACTTGTTAATATTGAAGCAGAACTTTTATTTATTATACTTTCCCTTTTATATGTTAATTAATGATTTATATTTAAATCCTTTTTTAAAAATAAGTTTTTATAGCTGTCATGACGTGCTCTTGATCATTTTGACCATGACTGTAATTTTTATTTTATCTAAAAGCAAAGTAATAAATATATATAATCCCTGTTCTTGCAAGTGTCTTCAGTTGCAAGAAAGGAAATAGATTTACTTTTGGAGGAAATACTGGTAACTTCAGCATTTGCAAGTAGTGATAAAACCAGTCTTTATGTTTGAATCTGAACTAAGGGTTATGTTTCTGTTTAAGGCATTATCTTTCTGATTGTGTTTCTTATGTCATATTTTAGTCAGCTTACTTTCCATTTTTCACATACCTGATGTATGTTGAGGGAGGTTAATTAATTGAGTAATTCTTTGAGGAGTAGTTAGGAAATGGAATGGGACCATGAAAATTATGTAAGTCTACCTGTTACTACTTGATACTTGACTGTTTGGAGAAAAGAGGCTGCTTGACTAATGATTGTCCTGGATAATTTTGTTTTAAACCGTGAATTTCAGTTGTTGTTTACTTTGGTGGACGAAGGGAAGGAGAGAATTGGAATTGGGCCTGGGTCCTCAGTACTAGATTGGCAAGACATATTGGGTATTTGGAGCTCCTCCTCAAATTGATGTTTGTGAATCCGCCTGAATTGCCAGAGCAAACCACTAAAGCTTTACCTGTGAGGTGAGTTGGTCCCTTTGACAGAAGTAACTTTTAATAAGATGAAGCAAGTAAAAGTTTATAATGCATCATTTCTCAATGTATATTCCAAAAAAACATTGGTCCCTTAAACTTTTTAATGTGAGAAGTAAAGCAAACAAATACTCCCTGGTCAAATCTGTGTGGGAAACACTTCATATTATAGCTCCCTCTTGTACATTAAAGGATCAGAGACACCTTTTCATAAAGAAATCAATTTAACTTTGATTTACCAAATTTTATTTGAGCATAAACCCATGTTCCCCCCTTATGACACCTGTTATCATCCTTTGGACAAATTTGAAAAGAGGGCTGGTCTATTTGAAAAGAGTGAAAGGAGTCTTGGCATCTGTTTACATCAGGGTGTAACTTTGGCAATTCAGCTTGTGCTCTGAGCTGCTCTTTCCTCACCTGTGGAAATATATTTACCCACTCCTCTAAAATTATTTTTAATATCAAATAGGAAATGTATGAGAAAACAGTTCAGAAAAGATGAGAAACATGTAAGTCAAAGAGTAAAGGAAGGCTAGAGGGCTCCAGAGGAAAGTAAAATGAAAAAAGAAAAAGTTTAGAGAACTGAAAGCAAAAGGAATTCAATAGACATTAGTAAAATAATTAGTTAAATATGCACTAAATGATTAAGAATTTAAAAATTATTATAAGATAAAATATGTTTAAGTTAAGCTGAAAGTAAATAGGCCAAACCAGGTAAGACATCAAAACTATAATATAAGAGAGGAAGATAAAAGCTTACAAATAATTGACATATAGGAGTATTAAGAAAAGGATTTAAAATGAGAAGTTAAAATGAAAAGCATAAAAAGAAAATATGCAGAGTGTAATAAAAGAATTGGAGAAGATATTTTTATATAAAATAGAAACACTTTAAATTAATGAGATGGTATTTTTTTAAAAAATTAGAACAATTAAAATAGCATGCAGATACATATTACAACATGATCCTAGATGGTATTTTGAAAGCAATGCCTATCTACAGGATTGAGATGAGAGTTTAGTTTAGGGGTAGAAGGGAAGAAAGGAACTAACGCAGAAATAATATCCATTCAGAGACTCAAAATACAAATAATTCAGTTACTTTGCAGAACAACTGTGAAGTGAATATTTTATAGCTTCTTTCTAAATCCCTGGTAGATGTTTAAACTATAAATAAAACATTCTAAAGCTTGAGTTTTTAAATGGCATTCAATTCTTAATTATTATAATATTTTCTCAAGGTTTTACTCTCTTCAGTTGATGCTTAGAAAACTTTCTTTGTGCAGCAGTTTTTGGCTGATACGGGGTGTCACCTTTTTTTTTTTTTTTTTTTTTTTTTTGGTACGCGGGCCTCTCACTGTTTTGGCCTCTCCCGTTGCGGAGCACAGGCTCTGGACGCGCAGACTCAGCGGCCATGGCTCACGGGCCTAGCTGCTCTGCGGCATGTGGGATCTTCCCGGACCACGGCACGAACCCGTGTCCCCTGCATCGGCAGGTGGACTCTCAACCACTGCGCCACCAGGGAAGCCGTGGGGTGTCACCTTTTAATCATTTTAATCGTTGTATCATGAGATCTGTTGAGATGTCTGATTCCTTGGCTAAGCTGTCATAATCTTTTTCCCTTTCTGCCTTTAGTCAGAATTACTTCATATAAGTCTACTACATTTAACTTTTGTTATTGCCTTTTCCTGAGAAAAGTATATAAGATGTTAGAAATGGAAGTTCCTAATTACAAGTTGTTTTCCCTCCTTAGAATTTTAAAAACAACCTTTTGAAAGAGACATGAAGAAATACAGGCTAAATGATAGAGATAACATATGTTGAAATCGTTTCTTTAGATAGCTGAGTAACATTTTCTTTCCCCTTTCCCCAAGGTTTTTGTTTACAGATTACAATAGGTTGTCCAGTGTAGGTGGAGAAACATCAATGGCTGAAATGATTGCCACCCTCTCGGATGCTTGTGAAAGAGAGTTTGGCTTTTTGGCAACCAGGCTTTTCCGAGTATTCAAGACTGAAGATACGCAGGGTAGGACCTCCTTCTCTTCTTTGTGTGTATGTAGGGCTTGAGGATGGGATGGATGCAGTGCATGAAAACATGAATTGAACATCAGATTTGTCATATGCTGTCACCGTAATGATTGAGATTTTCTGGATGCTTGACATGTTAAAACCATTTGTTGTATTACAGGTAAAAATAAATGGAAAAAAACGTGTTGTCTCCCATCTTTCGTCATCTTCCTTTTTATCTTTGGCTGCATTATTGCTGGAATTACTCTTCTGGCTATATTCAGAGTTGACCCAAAGCATCTGACAGTGAATGCCGTCCTCATATCAGTTGCGTCGATAGTGGGATTGGCCTTTGTGCTGAATTGTCGTACATGGTGGCAGGTGCTGGACTCGCTCCTGAATTCTCAAAGGAAACGCCTCCATAATGCTGCCTCCAAACTGCACAAATTGAAAAGTGAAGGATTCATGAAAGTAAGCACTCACTGCTTCTTAGAAAATAATCCTGGGAGATTCCTGGTGGTCCAGTGGTTAGGACTCCGCGCTTTCACTGCCGAGGGCCGGAGTTCAATCCCTGGTCGGGGGGAACTAAGATCCCACAAGCCGTGCAGAAAATAATCCTAATGTGAATATGCTCCCCATGACCATGGGGCTTTAGGGAGTGTTAAAGCGTTGCATTTGTTTTTAGTTTTACTCTAGATTTTTCCTATGAAAATACATATGTGAAGTGGGAAAAGTTACAAAAATAACGTATTTTTATAAAACAGACTTTTATAAGATACTCAAAAAGTTGCAGATTATTCCACAGTTGGTAATTACTACCTAATAATATAGGTTGCTCTAGAGCCTGGTAGAGTAAGCAGATTGAACCACCAAAACATATAAGATAGGAACACACTTTTAGAACAGAAAAGGGCTTTATACAGTTACCTTACTTTGATCAGGGTCACATGCCATCGGGGGTCAAATGTAGTGTGGTATTTAGATTATTTGGATTTGCATTCAAATATGTCTTCTGTCATTCAGAGCATGTGATCTCAGCAAGTAAGTCACTTAGCCAAGTCTGTCCTTTTAAAATGGATATGACAGTGTCTACCTTATTGTAATAAATGCTCTAATTTAGGTGAAGCACTCGCTACAGTTTTAAGCAGAACCACAACTGGCAGTGAGGACTTTGGATTTCTTTTCTTCCTTTAGCTGACTTTCTGTCAGGCTTTTTAAGAAATGTGCTTAACTTTCTCAGATTTCAGTGCTTTGTATCCTTTCTTTTGCACAGGTTCTTAAGTGTGAAGTGGAATTGATGGCCAGGATGGCAAAAACCATTGATAGCTTCACTCAGAATCAGACAAGGCTGGTGGTTATCATCGACGGGCTGGATGCCTGTGAGCAGGACAGAGTACTCCAGATGCTGGACACCGTATGTCTGAACCAACTTGAAACTTGTCATTGTCACATATGTGGCAGCTGAGAGGAGTCGCTTCATGAGTATCTCAAGTGGAGTTTGAATACTACGTCTTTTGTAAAAACAACCATGTTTTATGCAGACACATAGCAAGAGTAAAAGTTTCATCACAAGCAGATTGAAACAATTCTAGCTTAACGGCAGTGTGAGGGAAAAAGTGAATAGAGGGTCGCTGAAGTCCATAGTGTGACCCAGCTCTTCCTGGCAGATAGTGATGGCTGGAATAGAGTTAAGGGCAGGGAAACCACAGAATTTGTAGAGTTCTGTTAAAGTAGGGCACGCCAGTGGCTCTCTGTAAGGTACGTTACAAACAGCAGTGTGTAACTGGTCGGAGACCAATGTGGTTAGTACGTCGTATGTATTCATGAATATTTCTCATGTGTGTTGATCTTACCTCTTATGTAGACCATAAGTGTCTCGAAATACGACAGGATTAATTGTTTTCTTTGGAGATTTTATCACTGTCAAATGTTGAAAGATTGTCAGATGGTGACAAACCAGATTGAGACTTTGATAAATTTGTTTTCATATAGAATAATACTTGAATGAAAAGGAAATGTCACCAAAGGCCAACACAGATTTTGAAGAGGTGTTTTATTACTTTGGATAATTTAAAATTTTTATCTTATCATAACTATACATTTCTTCTACCACAGGTCCGAGTTCTGTTTTCAAAAGGCCCATTCATTGCTATTTTTGCAAGTGATCCACATATTATTATAAAGGCAATTAACCAGAACCTCAACAGCGTGCTTCGTGACTCAAACATCAATGGACACGACTATATGCGCAACATAGTTCATCTGCCTGTTTTCCTCAATAGCCGTGGGCTAAGCAGTGCAAGGAAATTTCTTGTCACCTCAGCAGCTAATGGAGATATTCCATGCCCAGATAATACAGGTAAAGATCGAGTTCCTCAGGCACTTTGGGTTTGAAGTAGTTCTGTAGTTTTTTATGGTGCATCTCCTTTTACCTTGAAAAATATTGTTCATATTTCACTACTCTTTAAATATCACATACAACAGAGTTTTAATACAATGGTGCTTTCTTGATAAATTCTTTAAGGGTTGCAGGAAGATGCTGACAGGAGAGTTTCACAAAACAGCCTTGGAGAGATGACAAAACTTGGTAGTAAGACGGCCCTTAATAGACGGGTAAGTTACCTTATGTTTTGAGCCATTTGTTTGTATTGCTATTATTTAAATGAAACCAAGGTGATGCCGCGTAATATTTTATAAATACTGCGTTGAGCTCATCAGTAAATTTTATCATTGGATTTCCTTTCAGCTTCAGGTGGTTTTTCAAGGAATGTCTGAACCTAGAGCCATAATAACTGTAAATTATATAGGAGTGCCTGTCCTCTCCCAGCCTGCTCTCAGCCCAGGTGCCACTCCAGATTCCAGACCGATGGAATCAGAACCTCTGAGGGTGAGATTTTAAAGCTCCCCAGATGATTTCATCGAGGGTTAGAGAACCACTGGGTTCATTCCAGGTCAAGTTGGGCTCATTCCAGGGACCCATGTCACCATAGCTGTAAGGGGGAGAGGCGCGTAGTGTGAGAACAATTCCTTGCTTTGTTTTCCTGTTGGCCTTCCTCCTTCCCCGATGTTTGTGAGATGTGTACTCTTTTTTTCTCCCCACATAGTGATTTTGTGCCCTTCCCAGTCCCTTGGTTTTCTCCTGGAACACTAGTTTCCCTGTCCTACCCTATCTTTAGGAGCCTTCTTTTGTAAAGAATAAGGGAGTATTACAAGGCAGGAAGATGCCCACTTGCAGGTAAGTTATGGTGATAGTGCTGCTCAAGGATGGCTAGGCTGGGCTAGCATTAGCGCCATTTATTTTCCCCCTTGTTTGCTAACATTAAATTGGGACATTTTACATTTAAAAAAATGTGTCTTCAGTGATATTTTGACTTTATGCCTCTACCATGTAGAAGTATGGATGTGAAAATAATATTATGAATGACAGTTGACAGCTCTAAATTAAGAGCAGGGTGTGATTTACAGTTTTGAATTTCTCTCCTGTGAGTCTGGACTCCTGGGTTCCCTGTAATTGTATCCACATTCCCCTGTCTCATGACCTTAGATGAGAACGCACCTTTGTTGTGCCTGTCCCTCCTCTGATTAGATGGGATTCCCTACCGCACCCCACCCAGGAGAGAGCCTTTAATTCTTATGCAGAAGTGAGGATAGTTAGAGCAGCTGTGTCATACGTTTAAAAATAACCTAGAATCAAAATGCTGAATCCTTAAATCTAGATGAGGGGTTATTTGCTTTATTATTTCAGGGTTCCTATAAATACTGAGCTCCCATAAGAGTTTGAGTTGAATTTTCTTTACACAATTCTGCTTATTTATGATCTTCAAGGCATCGAGCTTTCTCTGTACAGCTATAAATCAAAATACACCTGAAGCTAAACCATAGCATTTGATGCAGTTGCTGCTGATATTACTTTATAACTGTTCTGTAAATATTCTGCCTCAGGAAGTAACAGTAATACCTTTTATTACTATATAGTCTTCCTCTTTGACTAAAATTTTGGATTGTTTTTGTTGTTGACATAAACATATATTAACTTCTCAAAAAGCCTTAAGTTCTCAGGCTCGAAGTGTGGGTTCACTGTTTCAGGATACTTACCGAAGAAGACAGATGCAGCGCACGATTACTCGGCAGATGTCCTTTGATCTTACAAAACTGCTGGTTACAGAGGACTGGTTCAGTGACATAAGTCCTCAGACCATGAGAAGATTACTTAATATTGTTTCTGTGACAGGTGAATTTTGTTTTCTTACTGTTGTATGGTAGATAATAAGGTTGAACATTAATAAAGCAATCCAATTTCAAAAACAAAAGGATGTACTGGGTTTATATGTTTACACTACTGAATACCAGTTTTATTCGCATTAAGTGTGTCTAATAAAACCAATATTAGCTTTGACAATGAAAATCAACTACCAGTTGTCTACCGTTATTTTAAAACTCGATGACTTAAAATTTCATCTCAGCTTTAATTTTTCTCTTTGTATAAACATAATTTTATGCTAATTTGTATAACTGAGTATAATTAATTTATAATTTAAAATGTTGAAATTCAGATTTTACATGCTGCTCTTTCTGTTTTCAAATGATATATATTTTTTCTTTTTTTATTGTGTTAAATGAAATACACGTAAATATTTATCACCTTAACCATTTTTAAGGGTACAGTTCCCATAGTTGTGCAGCCGTCATTACCATCCATCTCCGTCACTCTTCATCTTGTAAACCTGGAACTCTCTTCTCATCCTCCTGCTCCTCTCCCCCCGGCCCCTGGCAGCCACCACTATACTTTGTCTCTATCATTTTGGCTACGCTGAATACCTCATATAGTTGGAATCATACAATATTTGTCTTTCTGTGACTAGCTTATTTCATTTAGCACAATTTTATCGAGGTTCACCCATGTTGTAGCATATTTCAGAATTTTCTTCCTTTTTAAGGCTAATATTCTACTGTATGTATATACCAAGTTTTGCTTATCCATTCGTCTGTCAATGGACATGTGGGTTGCTACCATATTTTTAGCTGTTGTGAATAATGCTGCTATAACACGGGTGTTCATATATGTTTTGGAGACAGTGCTTTCAGTTCTTCTTTGGTATATACCCAAAGTGGAATTGCTGGGTCACATGGTGTTTCTATTTTAAACTTTTGGTGGAACCTCCATACTTTTTTCCATAGTAAAAAAAGAAGTTTTTCCCACCAACAGTAAACAAGCAATTTTTCTACATCCTCACCAACCTTGTTGTTTTCTGGTGTTTTGATAATAGCTATCCCAGTGGGTGTGAGGTGGTATCCCATTGTAGTTTTGACTTGCATTTCCCTAATGATTAGTGATGTTGAGCATCTTTTTATGTGCTTATTGGCCATTAATATATCTTCTTCGGAGAAATGTCTGTTCAAGTCCTTTGCCAGTTTTTGAGTCGGACTTTTTTTGCTGTTGTTGAGTTTTAGGAGTTCTCTGTATATTCTGGATATTAATCCCTTTTCAGATATATGATTTTCAAATATTTTCTCCCATTCCGTGGGTTGCCTTTTTATTCTACAGATAGTGTCTTTTGATATACAAAATTTAAAATTTTTCATTAAGTTCAGTTTGTCTATTTTTTTCTTCTGTTACCTGTGCTTTTGGTGTCATGTCAAGAAATCATTGCCAAATCCAATATCATGAAGTTTTTATCCTGTGTTTTCTAATGCTTTAAGTCTTAAATTTAGGTCCTTGATCCATTTTGAGTTAATTTTTGTATATGGTGTTAGGTAAGTTCAACTTCATTATTTTGCGTATGGGTATCCAGTTTTCCAAGCATCATTTATTGAAAAGGCTGTCCTTTCCCCATTGAATGGTCTTGGCACCCTTGTCAAAAATCATCTGACCATATATGTGAGGATTTATTTCTGGATTCACTATTCTGTTCTGTTGGTCTATTATGTCTGCATTTTGCCAATACCGCACTGTTCTGATTACTGTAACTTTGTAGTAAGTTTTGAAATCAGGAAGTGTGATTCCTCCAGTTTTGTTCTTCTTTTTCAGGAATGTTTTAGTTATTCAGGGTCCCTTGAGACTCCATGTAAATTTTAGGATGGGTTTTTCTATTTCTACAGAAAATGTCATTGGGATTTTGACAGGGTTACATTGAATCTGTAGATTGCTTTGGCTAATATTGACATTTTAACAATATTAAGTCTTCCAATCCATGAACTTAGGATGTCTTAATTCGCTTATATTTTAAAATGTTGAAATTCAGATTTTCTATACATCTTTTTTTTTTTTTTTGCGGTACGCGGGCCTCTCACTGTTGTGGCCTCTCCCGTTGCAGAGCAGCTCCGGGCGCACAGGCTCAGCGGCTATGGCTCACGGGCCCAGCCACTCCGCAGCATGTGGGATCTTCCCGGACCAGGGCTCAAACCCATGTCCACTGCATTGGCAGGCGGCTTCTTAACCACTGCGCCACCAGGGAAGACCCCGCTACTGCTTTATTTCTTAACTGTTGTATGCTAGAACACTTCAAATACTTAACGTTATTTTTATTCACTCACACTTTTAAAATAGTTTGTCTGTTCTCTGTATCTGCTAGTTTCATGAATTCATGACTGCATTTGCTGTTGCCTTTGTTTGACTGCCCTAACTTTCTCCTCTTGCCTCAGCCCTTCCTCATCAGATTGACTCATACTCACCTTGCATAGCTTAGTTCTAGGGGTTACTTTCTTAAGGAAACCTTCCTGTAACTGCTGCTTCTGGATTTGGAGTGCATTTTTTATTTTCTCACAGCAATATGTGTGTATCTCCAGTAGAGTCTTATCTGTTAGGATTGTAAGTAATTGTTTTCTTATCTATCCATCTTTTCCAGTACACTCTTGAGTTCTTTTAGGGTGGGGAGTAAGCCTTCTATGTCTGTCTTCAGTAACTAACATACTGAGTGAGTGAGGTTTAAAAACTCAATAGAGCAACTGTAGTTAGATTTGAAGCCTTCATTGCCTTCCCACAAATGTTTGGGGGATCAAGCCTAATCATGGGATGAAAATTAGTTCACATATTGTTTTAACCCATGTTTCCAATTGTTCTAAAAGTTTTTTTCACCAGTTTTTTCATCTTTTAAAGTTCAAGAAGTATGTTGTCAATGTTGCAAGCACATTTTAATGCCTGGCTTCTAGTTGCCTAGGTTTTTAAACTTTTAGTTCTGTGTTAATCTGTTTATACTCTGCTGAGAGTAGATCTCCTCTCGTCACAATTTGTGATTAAGTCATTTCATGATTTTTGTTTGATTTATTTGTCTGGCCCACTGGAGTGTAAGCTTCATGAAGGCTGGGATCATATCTCTTTTGTTAAGCATTTTATCCCCAGCGTTAGTATCATATATCCATATATTGTGATACTTCAGTGAGTTTTTGTAACTCTCAAATGCATGTGACCGTAGCTCGCTTGGATTGAAAGTAGAGACCTTGTCACTTTTTTAGCAGACCAGATCCCATTTTCTAGGGGAAAAGGAATCTGGTGATGATAATGTGGTTTGCCCATAAAAGCAGATCTGCTGAGGGAATGAGGGTTGAGGATATGGGAAGAATTGGATGGGGGAATTACAAATCTATATCTGTTAGTAGTAAGGAAAGGGATGATTCATATTTGAACCAAAACAAATAGATATCTTAGTCTAGATAATGATGAAATAAAACTGACAATGTTTAAAACTAAAAAGCAATGATATCAGCAGTTCAGAATCCCAACAAGATCAAAGAAAAATTGATGAATCAATGAAACAAATCATCTGTTCTGAAAGTTCAAGGATTGCCAAGTGTCCTAATGTAGGCATGCCCAATGGTAGAACACTGAATTAGAGTCCTAAGAAAACCCCTGTGATAGACAGGAGTTTTTAAATATATGTAAACAAATTTTAGAAACATATTATTATTCACTTGATAGATTACTTACATAAGCCACCCTTAGTACATAAAAATGAAAGTGTATGAGATTGTACATTTACCCGTAATAAAACGGGTAAATGTACAATCCAGCATATTTGGATTTGTTCAAGGTCCATAGGAGGATGGGGCTTATCATGGGTGCATTGATGTTCTGCTGTATGATTGTGGGTAGGGTCGAGACCGTCTGACATGCCATCCTGAAAGATTTTTGCCTGGATAAATGTCATCAAAGCAGTGTGTAGCACCAACGGCAAATCACAAAAAAATTACTTTAGAATTAAACAGAGTTGTGTTTAAGCCATATTCATATAAGTACTAGGTTTCAGATTGTAGTGTAAATTAAATGGCAAATTTTAAAAGATTTAAAGTTGAATTATTTTTGAATATACAGAATATTTGGCTTAACGTTACATGCCTATTAATTTAAAACATTTTTTGTATTCCTTAAAGGGCGATTACTGAGAGCCAATCAGATAAGTTTCAACTGGGATAGGCTTGCTAGCTGGATCAACCTTACTGAGCAGTGGCCATACCGAACTTCATGGCTCATATTATATTTGGAAGAGACTGAAGGTATTCCAGATCAAATGACATTAAAAACCATCTATGAAAGGTACTTTATCTGACCTCTTTATATTTAAATTTACCTTAGACTGAGTTGACTTTTCAGAAGAAAGTTAATGCATATAAAGCAAGATGAATACAAAATGTATAAAATGTAGAGTTCTGGGTTCAACTAATCATTCTCATTAATTCCATAATGGAATTCCATTCCATTCCATTAATTCCATTCTCATTTAATTCCATTAAAAACCATCTATGAAAGGTACTTTATCTGACCTCTTTATATTTAAATTTACCTTAGACTGAGTTGACTTTTCAGAAGAAAGTTAATGCATATAAAGCAAAATGAATACAAAATGTATAAAATGTAGAGTTCTGGGTTCAACTAATCATTCTCATTAATTCCATTATAATTTGGAGTTGTATTAGCACAGGTATATATCCCATTATGTAAAATTTACAGATTTATTTGTCTATATTCTTCCTATCTCAATGTAACCTATATGATGAAAAATGTTTCATAGTCCTGTCAGCTCTATGTTATTTATATATACAAAATGCAAACCTTAAAACATTATTATTTATTTCTATTTTATTTTTTATTCTAAGTGTCTTTATAGAATATTAAGGAGGTTACATTTTCCAAATCATTAGTGCAGGTATATTCACAGCTTTATATCTGGAGGATTTGGGGAACTGTGAATACTGGCTGGAAAACATTCTTTGCATTAAACAGTAAAGGATTTATAAAATATATGAACAATTTATTGTTCTTTTATAGAACAATAAGTTGTTCTATAAAACAATAAAAAGAACTATTTTTCTTTTATAGTCAGTCATTTGAAGTACTTTTTTTTTTTTCGCGGTACGTGGGCCTCTTACTGTTGTGTGGCCTTTCCCGTTGCGGAGCACAGGCTCTGGACACGCAGGCTCAGCGGCCATGGCTCATGGGCCCAGCCGCTCTGCGGCAGGTGGGATCTTCCCAGACCGGGGCACAAACCCGTGTCCCCTGCATCGGCAGGTGGACTCTCAACCACTGCGCCACCAGGGAAGCACCTGAAGTACTTTTTAAATCTACTTCTGGTAAAGAAATTGATTAATATTTTTCTGGAAAGCCATACAGTTAATGCTCAGCGAAATGGTAAACGTGTCAAGTTTTAAGAGTTTGACTTTCTTGTCAAATAAACAAATAAAATTATAATCCTTTTTGTTTACCAGAATACTTAATACCTTCAAAGTTTTCAGTTACAACTCTAAATAAAAATACCTCTTAGAAAAAGTATAATACAAGGGAACTATACAATTGTATAAAACTTGGTATAATTGAGACTACTATTTTGAACATGTAAATGAAATATTAAATCTAACGAACCATTCAGTGTAGAGTTTATACATCAAAACTTTTAAGATTCCAAGTAAGTTTTCTTAGAGTATTGTCAGCATGTGGTTTTCATTATTTTCCAATCCCCACTTTTCATGTACATATTTTATCTAATATTGTCTAGGTGAATAACTGATTTTAGAATATAGAGGCTGGTTGTAGTATTAGTCTACAGACTTGAGCTCTTGTAGGTTTTGCTGTTTAATTTGTGCTAAATTAAACAGATTGAATTCTGTGAGCTGTGTCAAGTAGGTGCTCTCGTAGATGGCAGCGAAACACAGCTACCATGGGCCTGTGGAGCAGTGTCACTGATTGCATCTGCTCTTTGATGTTTTAGAAATCATCTTTTTATTATAAGATACATGACTGTTTTTTCCCTTGGTTGTGCAGTAAAATATTATTTCATGAATAAACGTTTGCATCATAGCATAGGTGCTGTATAATAATGAATGTTTGCTAGATGAGCACAGTTTTTGGTTTGATACACATAGGACTCAAGTCAGTCTCTTCACATTCCTTTAATTGAATATAATGCTTAGAAGTTTATTGTGTCTCAGGAGTCCGGGAACATTGCTCAATTTCTCACATGTTAAGGACAGTGTGCCTAGGGTTCCCAGCACTGGGTCCTCTGCATGTTCTGTGAAGAGGGTGAGTAATTGGTGAAAGAAGGTCTGTGGCCTCAGGAAATAGAAGCAGGAGAGATGTGAAAATAAACAAAAAGTTTTTAAAGCTCTCAAAAAAATTCATAATTGAGTTCACTCAAAAAAAAAATCTAAGTGTTTGCTACTTGGGGGCCCTGGTCCTGATGCTGGAGGTACAAAGGCGACCAGGCAAATATATGTTTACTTTTTGATCCTATAATCTCATGTGTAGAAATTTAAACACACACCTCCACAGTTATAAAACTAGTTATACAGGGTTGTTTATTGTGACCTTATCTGTAGCAGCATAATTTAAATGCACATTTATAGGAACATTGCTTGGATAAATTATGGCACAGCTACCATAATACAGTGCCTTGTAGCTGTAGAAAATGAGAAAAAACTATGATTTGATACGGTGAAAATTTCAGGATATATTAGTAAGTGAAAGATGTAAAGTGCAAAAGAGTATATATAACATGTTTCTGTTTGTATAAGGAAGAAGGGGGAATAAGTACATCTATCTGTATATACATATGTAGGTATATATTATTTTTCATGAAAATATAAAACAAACCCATGGGAAGGGTAAGCCAGAAACTAATAAAAATGTTTACCTAAAGAGGATGCTTAGATGGGGAATGAGATGTCTCTGAATGTATATTTTTATGTAGTTTGCCTTTCGTATCATAATCGAGAAACAAAAAGGATGGGAAAAGCAAACCCTAATATTGAATACAAACAGAAAGAGATGATCCTAATGGTACATGAAATTGAAAATATAACCACACAGAAAAAAATTAATTCGAACACCTTTGAACTCAGTTCTCTGATTCTTTATTCTTAGTATAATATACTGAAGACAAAATTAACTGCAAAGAAATCTTGAGCTTAGTAGGTTTGTTGCTGATAATAGTATTGGTATTATACTCCTGAAATCCTTTTGAATGTATCATAGGACAGAGTAAAAAATGAATTAATAGATATTTTTGGAAGCCGGTGTTTTTCCTATGGGAGAAGGGATATACAAATATTGAATGGAAGAAATTAGGAGGAGCACTATGGTAGTAGACTGGATTTGGAGATATTAAATATTAACTCATAATTTAAAATGAGGTTTCCTCTAGTTTTGCCCACCAAAAGGGAGCAAAAATACCCCCAAATTGTGAGCACATCTGGTGCCTAGATCTTGGTTTCTGATTGGGACTCCTTGGAGAAATGGCTGATTCCAGGTCTAAGGCAGGGAAAGCTCAGGGGGAGCCTGCATTGTTGTGCCAGAAATCAAGGAAGGAAAATGTTGAAAGACAGTGAGGTCTGCACAGAAGGGCACAGGACTTAGCTTGAAGGAGCACCTTTCAAACTTGGGCCCATTTGAGAACCACAAAGAAAAATGATGGTAATGGATTATAACATATCAACAAAAGAAATCCAGTGAGTCCACAGTAATACTTAGAAGAGAGGAAAAAGGAATAATTCTTTATTTTAGGAGAATGCCAGCAGATAAATGTAGAAGGAATGAATGAAGTAGAAAAATTATCATTTTTTTTAAATCCCCAGTGTGATAATTGATTCAAGCAAGGATCATCGGTGGTTGCAGAAACCACTGGAGGAAAGTTGTTGGGGAACACAGGAGGCGCACATGGTCTCAAAATATCACCCCCAGGTTACATATAATCACAGCGAAGACACGTGCTTGCAGTGGCGATATCTGGCTGTCATCGCATTTTTAATCAGACAGTCAAGCCTGGCATCATTAATGGGGTGCATAGCATCATAGGCCACTAGATAAAATGCGGTAGAAGGTACCACATCACCTTTCTGGTACCGTTGCCAGCCGTGTTGTACTATGATTCTAATTCTGAGGAAGCAGCCAGATGAATCTGGAGTGTGGAACATTCTACAAGACAACTGGCTTGAATTCCACATTGGTGACTGGGGGAGACTGAAGAGATAGATCCCACAGCCAAAATGCAGTGTGTGAACTGTGATAGGGATCTGTATCAGAAGAAAAGCAGGTCACTGAAGGGCATTTTGCGGGCAGTTGGTAAGGAAGAATTTTTGAATTAATGTTAATTTCCTTAGGCATGGTAAGGGTGTTTGGGGGAGGTTCACGCTGAAGTATTGAAGTGTGAAATACACTTTCAGATGGTTTGGCAAAAGGAAAGTGTATGTATGTGTGTGTAGATACGCATATGTCTGTAAGTATACCTGTGTATATATTATGTGGATGTGTATACATGTACATATATATGGGGAGGAGGGAGATAGCAGGTGTATCGCGACATGATGTTGACAGTTTGTGAATCTAGGTGAGCTGTGTTTGGGAGTTGGTTGTCCTGTTCTTTCACCTTTTCTGTGACTTAAAAAGACATTTTAATGCAGTGGAAAAGCACAGTAAATAATTAAAATATAGGACGATAAATGCTATGATTTGAACAAATAAAAAGAGAGGAGGGATACAAACATGAAGTACCTGGTTCTTATTAAGAAATTTTCCTCTTCCCATTCCTTTTGTTCTCCATAGTGATTGTTCAGTAAATATTTGTTGCTTTAAGATTTTTACTTAAGGACATAGTTTACATTAAATGATTCCAAGAACTGTATTCCTTAGTACACTTACGTGGTTTTAGTAACCTTTACACACATGCCACGTGTAATTGAAGATCATTATGTATATATACATAGCTCTATTGAAAGCTTTAAAAAAAAAAACCTACCATTTTGTTTCATGGTGGCAGGATGAATCACAAACCACACTTTGCTGATTGATTGATTCTAATGTTAGAATCAGCAGGTACCTCTAAAAGGCATGGAGCAAGTGGATGCAGACGGTGCAGTGTTCATTAGTATTTTAAGACCTGCAGTCCACAAATGCCAAGCAGTCAAGTTAGCCAGTTCTGATCCTGTAGGAAGTAAGATGGACAGTCCATCAGTGAGGTCAAGTATGATTAGAATCTGCAACTCTTGGGTTAATGAGCTATTCAGGTGAAAAATCACATATATTTTAAAAAAATTTTTTAAATGCAC